AGAGTCCCTGGCTTCCAATCTTCTCGAGAGGGGATTCCCTTGAGTCTCCGGAGCAACGTCGTTTTTGAGACCTTATAGTCTCTCGCTGCCGCTGCTACGGAGCGGCTGGCACCTGATCTGACAGCTGACATCGCAAGCAATAGACTCCCCTCTTTTAGGGACGATTGCACGCGTTTTGGTGTAGCCATTGCGTGTTGAAGTTGACGCGTTGTTGTGTTCAAAATTGTGGACCGCGTTGGGGTATGGACCGCGTTGGGGTTCCCCGCGTTACCCATGGGCGCGATTATTTACATCATCTTTCCTGCCCAGGTGTGCTTCAAACCGGACAAGCGCCTTTCGGGTCTTTCGTGATGCCGATTCCGCTGAATCCGGGGACTTTTGTCTGCGCGCGCGCTTCACGGTGTGCGCATCGTCTTTTACCCTTGATCGCCCATACGACTATTCCAGGGCGTCTCAATGGAACGTTGACCTACTTAGCAGCGCCCGGTACCATCGTGCAATGCCTATCCAGTAGCTCATTGATAGTCTGTTCTCCTCATTTGAATCATCGTACCCGGGTGACGTTAAAGCTTTTCTATTCGTGAGCAGCAACTCGGCTATCAACATAAGGCGCCACATCCGTACAGTCCACATTGTCGACATTGCCTTGATAGCAGCTAACGACATTCGTCGCTCTCGCGTCGGCGGCGTGGCTTCTTCACGATGCTTAGGCGCCAGGAACTGTCATTTGGGTCTCATCAGTAGCCCACACTAGGTAGACGGACCGATTGCTGGGTGCTACAGGGAAGGCCTTTTCTCGCGATGATTGACGTTAGCATCTTCCGCCCGCGCCACGATGTTGACGACGACTTTTAAGGCGTCAGTCGAGGTAAAAAATCATCGCCAGTCGTCTTGGCAAACAACACGACCACGAAAACACGAGGCGCGAGAGTCACAAAGAAGCCGAGGTACTCGAGGCTGCACTACGGATGCTGCACTGCACCATACAGTAGATACAGTGGACAGCAGTGCCATGATCTGACTGGAATGATCTCTGGCACTGACCACCGCAAACATACAAGCACACCTGTGCAGTGACCAGACCGATAGCGTCTACTCCTAAGCAAACAGGGCGTGTTACTGGTGCCATGTATTGTATCGTGTGCTAGCGGGTGATCAGACGGATGATGTTGATGCTAATGAGGACCTATGCATGTCGTCGTCGACCACCCTCTACCCTCCACCCAATCCTGTCGTCGGAGCACGCGGCGTCGACCACGATGATCCCTGCAGCATTTAGTCTACGTACGCATCCACCTTTCGAGTACATACAAGGAGGACGATCATCGAGCGTTTAGGTATCAGCTATTATGTACGAATTCGGTAGGCCAAGATAGCTCAAGCTCCTAGCCTTGCCAAGTGCCGTGATGATCTTGGTCACGGCAGTGCGGTACCCAGGCAGGCACTTCGAGCGACGGTTGAAAGCTTCCTTTACGGAAATAGGACACAACCGGTTGCCGGACGGTCGTCCATCACGGCTTCTCGGGCCAAAACCGGAGCAGGACACGCCGGGACAGAGGGAAGATGGAACGATTGCCTTTCTCGAGACAAACCCTAAAAGTCCGAGGCAGGAGGATAGCATCACAACTACCTACCTAGGTAGGTACTGGCCGATCGTACAGGTGAGATCCCATCCCGTCGTGCTATGTATCCTGGTTGTCTGCATCAATACGGGTACATGGTAGACCACTCCTCCGATCAATAGAAAGGATCTCGAAAACGAAAACGACGGTGATGATAATGATGTCCGCGCCAACTTTGACGAATTCTGCCCAACGTAGAAGACAAATTGGTATTTTACGGTGTCAATTTAATCCTCGTCAGCATCATGATGTACTCGAGCTGTGTGAGACGAGCCATTCCCGGCGAAACAATTGGTGGCTCCATACATATTTTAGGTACATGTACTGCTCCTACCAAAGAAATGTGCGGTGCGCGTAGTTTCCTCCGGGTCGGAATTCTTTTGACGCCTCCTCTTCCTTCTGTCTCTTTCTCGGCCGACTCCACCCCAACGCAATCTCTCCAACGCCTGCAATTCCGGCCTCGTTGTTACTGTGCGTTCAAATGATATTGGCGTCCGAGGGCAAATCTCTGGCGGCTTTTTACACGTGGTTGATGACAGGAATTGCCTGCCATCTGGGTGTATAAAGTAATGTTTAATAGAGTTCACCCAATTGCGCCGTGGCCATCGTGGCGCACACGCACTGCGGCGGCCTCGACACTGTCCACGCCGGCTCAGGTTTGCTCAACACAAAATTCTTGGCTTTCTTCCTCACGATCAAGGTCCACATCTCTCATGAGTCTACAAAGATGCAAGCGGCGCCAAGATGATGACGAATCACCCAACTCCGCACTTCGAGGGGCTCCTGGGCAGCACGATTCTCGAACCTCGTCTGTAGATCTTCATTGCCAAAGTCCGGTTCCAAGTGGTCATATCGCAATCGTACATACCTAGTACAGCACAGTACATGACGATACATTCATCAAGGATTTTAAGCTCCGACTAGCTGTGAACACAAAATATTGTTAGGAGCTCTAGGCCAGCACGTCAAATTTAGACTTCGTTCACGCTGCCACGTTCGGCCCGCGGCGAGCCTTCACGCGTCGAAATATCCACTCCAAGGTGAGCTGCATGGCTGTGCCGAGGCCGACACAGAGACCAGGGCGATCATTTGACAATTCGAGACAAGGCTTCAGCGCATTGGTGTTAATCCACTTTGGCGAACAGAACAGCCATTTCCTGAACCAGCGGCATGCAAGAACGCTTATGTGACAAGGGCGGTCTTTCCGATCAATCTACAATACATTACATCCCAGCTCCATGGATCTATTGATAGTCAGACAATCTCCTCAGCCTGTCGCCACGCTCTGTGGTGATTCGATGTGATCATGCCATTGAGGCTTACATCCTGCAATCAAGTGCTGATGGCCATCACCATAGAGAGGAATGCCGAGTCATGGGTGGTAACGTTCTCCGTCTTCGTCTCATGCGCAAGGCTTTCCGACACTACCGTCCCTACTGCGATGGCTGGTCGAAGTCTTCAGAAATGCTGCTCGCTGAGCGACTATTACGCCAGCATGTGTTTCCCCGTTGTCATGACACAACGCTGAAATGTCTCCGTAAGGCTCATTTGCACCGTTTATCGACGATGCTTGCTCCGAACTCATCGTACTCCTGTTTGCTGATCCACATTTGATGGAATGTGCCGAGACTTCCAAGCACACTTCCACCGATCCATGAACCGAACCTCCGCTCGGCGGTGCTCGTGTTGGCAATGACACGAACCTTGGGGTTTGGGTATTTCAGGGCGAGGTCGCTCTGAATGCGCTCAGGCAATTTCTCGATCAAGCTCCCGGCACCCGTGATGATGACATTGTTGAGCAGAGTTGGCCGAGCGTCGACGTCGACCGCATCAACTGCGCGACGGATCACGCTTGTGATGGTCTGTTCCGCTGTTGGAGCCGTATGCTCGGTAGATGAGTAGGCAGCAGAAGCGTCAAATAGCCCCTCCGCAACTTTGAAGCGCTCCACACCGAAAACATTGTTCCATCCGTCTGGAAATTCGAATGGTCTGGGTGGCAAGCTCTTGAGAGTCTCAGCATTGGTCACCGTACCTCCAGGTGCCGTCGGCGAAGAAAGACTGTTTGGGCCTGGCCACGCTGTGACAATTGACTCCTTGAAGGCGGCCAGGACTCGATCCTCCTCGAAAGTGCGGAAGGATGCGCTGGGTGCAGTGTCGAATTTCTGAAAGGTCGCCAAGCTTGGCGCGCCAGCATCGACAGGTTGTTTGCTAGCGATGGCGTAGTAGGGATTTAATGGCACTGCCGGTGACAAGGAGCCGAACATTAATCGTAGCTGTGTGTTGAGCCATGAACCGGCGAGCGGGGTGTGACTTGATGCTATCTGAAGGTCAGCTCATTGCTCTCTGTGCGTTTTCATAGAAGTCCATTTGACCTTTCCGTAGCACCATGCCGTCGTACAAGGCTGTTACTGAGGTATTCAGATGACCAACGTCGACGATCAAAGCGGTGGCCTTTCCTTGGGAGTACCTGTAGATATGTATGGTCAGCCTCTCCAGCTTTGCAACACGTATTGAGCTCGACATACGCTGCTAATTGCCCAGTCTTGGCCAAAAAGAAAGCCGGAACATTCCAATCTTCCATGGCCAGCTCGATTGTCTTTTCTCGTGCCTTTGACGGATTCCACGCAGGTTCACTCATTAACAAAGGATTGTCGCTCAGTATCCGCTCATGCTCTTCCGTTTCCTCGACCGCTGCATCCATGTCCACATCTCCGTCTCCATCCTGGTTTTCCTTGGAAGCCGGGTCATTCAGTCCATTCTTACTGGGTGCTGTTTGCCGTGGGCCGGTGAGACGAGATGTAATGCTGTATTCCCATAACCGTGCAGCAGTCTCCCAATCCTCGACTATTCCATCTGCGTTATAGGGATTTGCGATCTCGGCGCCTGGTCGGACCAGGTGTATGGCATTGTCCCCGTAAAGTTTCTCGCCCGACGAGGTCACCACATAGCTGGTCGGGATGACGGACTTGGGAGTGTCTTCACCTGCGAAACCTGCTCGAGTGGTAAAGCTGCCCGGATCGAGAATGAGCGCGTTGATCTCATCTGCAATTGAGGGGAGTTGTCAGTAAACGTCACTTGCATTTCTGGTGTATCTTCCCAAGCACATCAGACTGACCACCGCCGTATTCTTGCGCCGCGGGAGCTTGTGTTGGCGGGATCGCTGCTGCCATGACTACTTTTGTGCGAGTCCTGTGATAGCGAAATGCTTAATAGATCTTGGTCCAGTATCCGGGCAGGAAGAGATTGGCTTTCCTATGTCGTCACCTATCGCACCGCGCGAATCGCAAATCGCGGGAATTTCGCAGCTCGCGACGCGTGAGAGAGCTCCGCCGCGTACAGTCCAAGACTTGATGACACACTTTCCCCAATTCCTTTCCCCGGCTTTCGTACTTATTTTTAACAACCACCTCAGAGTAAGGGGTCCAGGCATTTCGACACCACAACATCAGCGCTACAACGCGAATGGGTCATCGCAAATAAAAGACAAGGACGCATTCACCGAGCATGATTCGACCTTGGGAGCTTTTCCGGGCTGAGACCCTTGACATTCGTCTCTCGCCAACGACAAACGCACCTCTCCCAAGCGCAAAGCCGTCGAGATGGAATACTTCGGAATATTACCTTTACTACCTGGCATTCCTTACCATTCCGGTTTTGATGTTTAAATCAGTATACGATGTCTCGCAACCTTCTCATCCGATGTACAAGCATTACGCTCACCTTTTGTCGCCGGGTTGGATTCCCGGGCGGCAAGTTGATAACTCAGATGCGCAGTATTCGAATTTCAGGGACTTCATTCCCTACATGGCTTTACTCTTGACCTTGCATCCACTTTTACGAGTCATTGCCAACGTAGTTACTGGGTCTCCAGCTCCTCGCAATGGGGCAAGCCAATCGAAGAAAGCCTCAGCAGAACAAGCGGACTGCAGATTGAAATCCCGAGTCAACTTTGATCTAGTTTTTACTGCCATTTTTATGGTTGCACTTCATGGCATTTCCGCCTTCAAGATTCTCTTCATTCTCTACGTCAATTACCATGTGGCTATGTCTCTGCCCAGGAAGTACGTTGGTGTTGCGACCTGGATCTTCAATATGGGAGTTCTGTTCAGCAACGAATTATGCCATGGCTATCGATTTACGGATCTATCGATCATTCTCTCTTCAACTCCAATTAACGCCAACACTAGCCTGGGCGCCACTATCGACAGCTATGGTGGACTCATCCCTCGTTGGGAGATTTTCTTCAACATTACAGTCCTTCGACTGATTTCCTACAATTTCGATTATATTTGGATGCTCGAACGCGGCACGAGCAATGCCATCGAGGTATGTACCGGCATCCTTCAACTGCGTTATTTGATCTGTTGGTGGCTAACACACTCCAGAAGAAATCGCTCGACCCTGCTGCACTTCCCGATAGGGAGAGGGTTGCCATGGGAGCACAACCAAAGGACTTCACATTTCCCAACTACGTTGCATTTGTACTTTATGCTCCACTTTACCTCGCCGGTCCGATCGTGAACTTCAACGACTATATTTCGCAATGTCGCTATCCGTCAGCATCGATTTCGTTCTCACGAACCTTTCCGTACGCCGTCCGCTTCCTACTCTGCCTCCTCACCATGGAACTTGTTCAGCACTACCTCTACGCTGTCGCCATCAACAATGCCAAACCGGACTGGTCCCTCTACACTCCATTCCAGCTTTCAATGCTGGGGTATTTCAACCTACACATCATCTGGCTGAAGCTACTACTTCCATGGCGCTTCTTCCGACTTTGGGCTCTCGTGGATGGAATCGATCCACCCGAGAACATGGTCCGATGCATGTCGGACAATTACTCCGCCCTTGCATTCTGGCGAGGATGGCATCGCTCGTTCAATCGATTCATTGTCCGCTACATCTTCGTTCCACTGGGCGGCAGTCGAGGTTTGTCAAAGCCACGCATGATCGCCAACTTCCTCCTGGTCTTCACGTTTGTAGCAGTATGGCACGATCTCAATCTTCGGCTTTTGACCTGGGGTTGGCTCATTACTCTATTCGTCTTGCCGGAGATCATTGCCACGCTGCTCTTCCCAGCGAAGAACTACAGGAATCGCCCAAATACGTACCGCTGGCTGTGTGGCCTCGGCGCGGTCTTTAACATTCTCATGATGATGGTCGCAAATTTAGTTGGATTTGCTGTCGGTGTGGATGGTCTGAAGGGACTTGTGACTGGCATCGTCGGTGACCTGGGAGGTAGGATATTCTTCGTCGGCGCATGTGCCACTCTCTTCGTGGGTAGCCAGGTCATGTTCGAGTGGAGAGAGAGCGAGAAGAGGAGAGGCATAGATTTGAAGTACTAGTTTCCTTCATTTCTGCGAATAAACACATGATCTCAGCCTGGCTAATAATTTTAATCATCAACGCCCTCGGCCTGACCAGTAGATGGTATCAATGGCTCAAAACAGCGATTTTACAGCGCCGGCACGCAAAAGTATACCCATAAATTGGCCAAGGCCGTCAAAGAACGCGCATCCCCAGGACAAATTCATTGGGAGTTGTGCCTCAATCATTCCAAATGAAACGCCCGAAGAATACACATAAAGCCTTGCTCGCACCGTACATGCAATAATGCACCACCTTCAGCTTCCGATGTTCATTGTCCTCTCCGTATTTGGCGATCTGCTCGAGATCCGAGTTCCTAGGTAGGAAGAGCACGACTTCGGTCGGCTTCCGCATGAATGCATCGTGTAGCTGTGTCAGTGTGTATGGTTGCATCAGAGAGAGGTCAAAAACGTTGGAGGTCGTATATGATGGACCTAGAATTACGAGCTGTCAGACACAATTCGCGTTGTGGGATTGATAGCCACATACCTCCCCAGGGCGGACTCCCGAAGATGACGGCGTTCTGTGCGACACTATTCAGCCGCTTCTTCAGGACGGTGAAGATGTCACCTTGGATCCACCAGATTTTATCTTCGACACCGTAAATTTTGGCATTGTGCTTGGCGCACGCAAGAGTCGCGGGATCCTTTTCTATGGCAAAGATCTCGTCCCAACGACCCGACAAGGCGAAGGCAATGGTATTACCACCAGCTCCGGCGAAAGCGTCGATGAGAGTTCGCTTGTTGCTTGGAGAAACCTCTGCCAACTGTGCGGCGATCTTACTGCTTGCGGGCGTGTGATCAATAAATATCTCAGCAGGCTTGAGCATCTGCAGGATTGTGTGATCTACTTACAGTGCTATGGGCTCTGGGGTGACACCAAACCAGGCGTCATATGTCATCCACACGCCCTCATCGTATCTCGAAAAAATGTCGTAGCGTTGGTGGAAATACTTTGACAATTCGAATGGAACATCGTCAGTATCCTGGTAATGGTGAACTCCTTCGGGTAGAGTCTCTGCTTGCTCGGCCATCAAAGTGATGTGCGGCGATTGGATGGCTTGCTCAGCTCCAGATATGTAATGCGCGGGTCCTTATGTGGAATTCACAACGGGTTCAGTCAACTGGGAATACCAACTGCGATCCCAGCCAGTCAAATTATGTTCATGACCATTCATAGGCACGTTCGCATGATCCCAACCCTGGGGTAAAACATCTTCGCCCCAACCCTAAACCGTGCAGGACCTCGAGACTCTCCGAATGCAAAGAAGAAGGCCTTTATTCACTAGACACGACTGAAGCTGCCTGCAGGCTTTCTAGCAGGTCTGGACATACGGACCTCCGAGTATCGATATACTATTGTTCAACCACTCGAGCCATATTGCCTGGGTGCACTTGTGTAGACGGCCAATGTCCGCGTCCTTTGAACGCGTCATCTCACAGGGACGATCGGACTAGAGGGCTGACGTCTGCATTTTCGCTGGCCCAAAAGTCGCGCAGATGCATTGAGAGCTAGAATCTCTGACATAGTGAAAAGTCGGGAATTAGTCGTGGACGGAAGTGTGTTCTGGCGCGAGAGGGCTAAAGCGGAAGTGATAAAGTATTGTCGAGACAGCAACGCGTTTTGACTTGGAAGATTGCCGTCGTAGCGATGCCACGATCCGAAGGTTACGGCACACTGCCATCGACGGAGCCTCGACTCAGTGAGGATCAACCTTCGACGGCATCAATTCACGCTCGACCTGTTCTATCAGAGCCGAAGACGCCGGGATGGACAGCACGCTTGCACGATCATCTACACGTGGATGTCAATAACAGATGGGCCGACATACCTCTGCTGTTATGTTACTTTATCACTGGCTTGCTGGATACGGCCAGTGTCACAACATGGGGCAGTTTTGCTAGCATGCAGACCGGTGAGTGTGCCTGCCGCCAAGGACTTCTCTAGTGATTGCCGAACCCGAATCGCCTGCTGAATGCATCGACGAGTTTAGGAAACACAATCTACCTAGGCTACGGTATCGTAGCACCCTCCGAGAGCAATCGGTGGATTCGCGCGGCGGTCTCTCTGGTAAGCTTCTCGGTGGGAAGCTTTCTCTTTGCTCGATTTCATCGCTTCTTTTCGCCAAGAAGACGATGGGTGCTGCTCTTGTCATACATTATACAGACATTATTGATTGGAGCTGCAGCGCTCATGGTTACGCTGGGACCTCGAACCACCAAAGATGGCCCGATTACTTCATGGGTGCTGGTCCCCATCGCGCTGATAGCATTGCAGTCGTCCGGCCAAGCTTTCATGAGTCGAGTACTGAAATTTGGAAGTTTGACCAGTGTCGTGCTGACATCGATTTACTGCGATCTCTGGGCCGACGAGAAACTATTCGCGGGGATCATTGCGAACACCGAGAGAAACCGACGAGTGGCAGCGCCTATCATGTTGCTGTGTGGAGCCGTTGTCGCGGGCGTGTGCGAGCGAGCTGAGGTCGGCATTGCGGGCGCTCTGTGGATGGCCGCTGGTTTGAAGGCCATCATAATCGTTCTATGGTGGTTCTGGAGAGAGGATGAGCTGAGTTCCTAGACGTTTGTGTGACTAACGTGTTTGATCCGCCGCATTACAAGTCAGATGTGATCGCCATGGCGTAGGCACTCAGATATGCCCACGACTTAGATCGCACTGGTTGTCGGGCCAAGCATTCTGCTCATGGAAAGCTTGTTTGGAGGGTTAGTCGGGTCCATGGAGCTACAGGTATCGGTCAAATAGGACAGGACACCCCGACAACCTGATGAAGCCGATTCTGGGGGATTGGTGTTCTACTCTACCTTAGAAAGCTGATGTGTGTCGTTTTAGTCATCGGCAATACAAGTATCATATCAGTCATGGGGGGAGTGGCCCGTCTGATTTGACTGATGCCTGGACGACTGCAACGAGGAAATGCGAGTACGCCGGACTACAGGGTCTGGCAGACCATGGTCGCGAGAGCCCAATTCCCAGGTCTGAGAGATGGTCATCTGGTGCAAACATCAATGTCGCTTGGGCTCGATGCGTGTATCTGCACGTGTTTCATGCGAGATCGATGGGATGCTCGCCGATGGTTGCTGGATGTGTTCTACGCGTGGGGATAGTGCGAAGGTGCGAGAGATCAGAGAGGGTAGAGCAGGTCAATGTTCTCCCAATCAATAGTTATGCATTACATCGAGTATCCTTGTCCACCACTTCTTATGAACACTGCAGTAGTTGCGTCGTGAATTGATAATGCCCGTCCATCGATTTGTCCAGCAATAAACACGTGCAACATGGGGTTTGACAGTTCGGCACGCCCTACCCGCAGCTTCTTGACCACATTGGGCTTGTCTCCGCGGACCGTGGCGAAGATCTTCAGAAGCTTGACTCAATTCCGACCACTCGCCGTGGAGACGATGACCGTCGCGACGACGATTCATGCTTCATTCGGGGTTATGTGGCATGCATAAGCCGTCCCTATGCATTCAGCTCCAATGATCTTCACCACGAGCAGCTATTAAACGAACCTGAACGACGCTTGATGAATATTCCCGAACAATTTGAGATGTATTCCCCGCCAGACCGCATTCAAATGGCGTCGCCCTCCAGAGACCGCCCGCTCGGGCCAGACCACATCGGTCGCAATGCCGTCCGGACGAGTAATTGATTAGCCTCGAATGGATGCCGGCATCAACGCTTGCGTAGCTACGATGTTCTTGCCACGAGAAGTACAAGTATTAGTAGACCTGCCCGGCTCGTCGTCGAGACATCGGGGCAATTGCAACACTTCATCACACACGAGCATTTCTATTGTTATCGTGCTGGATACCATTGGCAAAGCTTGTTGCTTTAATCATATTCCTTACCGTTTTCACCGATCATGGCTTCTTTACTCGCCCTGCCATTGGTGGCCATCACCGGCGCGCTTGCCTTTTCGTATCCTCAGATCCCAGCTGATCGCACAACTCCATTTCAGCAGCGCATCGCTGTGAAGGGGGCGAACTGTGAGTCTCTGTCACGTCGGAGTGGTCGTAGATGTCGACGCTGACAGTCTTCATTAGCCATTTCTGTGGGCTGGAACACCTTCCAGAAATTAGACCAACCCTGCGTGCAGTTTGGCATTTCCAGCAGCTCTCTCACTGCTCAGTCGTGCTCTACCGACTCATACACATATGCTTCGTCTCGAACATGGTCGAACGCGGTCACACTTTCCGGCCTTCAGCCTGCAACGACATACTTTTACAAGATTGTGTCGACCAATTCCACTGTGCAGTCGTTTTTCAGCCCTCGTGCCGCCGGAGATGATACCCCTTTCAACATGGACGTTGTGGTTGATCTTGGTGTGTATGGGCCAGATGGCTTCACCACTACCAAGCGAGACACCATTCCTCAAATTGAGCCGGCGCTCGAACACTCCACCATCGGCTCCCTGGCTCGTACCTACAAGGACTATGAGCTTGTCATCCACCCAGGAGACTTCGCATACGCTGATGACTGGTTCTTGAAGCCGCAGAACCTCCTGGACGGCAAGGATGCATACTCAGCTATCCTCGAGACCTTCTACAATCAGCTCGCGCCGATTTCTGCTCTCAAGCCGTACATGGCTGGTCCTGGCAACCACGAGGCTGCCTGCGAGGAGATCAACTACACCAGCGGTTTGTGCCCGCAAGGCCAGAAAAATTTCACCGACTTCCGCAACCGTTTCAACCAGACCTTGGGTACTGCCTTCCTCTCGTCTAGCAATGACAGCTCAGCGCAACACTCCGCAGTGATCGCCAAGGCTCTCGCCAACCCGCCGTTCTGGTACAGCTTTGAGTACGGCCAAGCACACGTTGTTATGTTCAACACCGAGACCGACTTCCCTAAGGCTCCAGATGGCAAAGACGGTAGTGCCAACCTGAATGCTGGGCCATTCGGCGCGACCGGCCAGCAGCTCGCTTTCCTCGAAGCTGACCTGTCCAGCGTCGACCGTACTGTCACACCCTGGCTCATCGTCGCTGCTCACCGTCCCTGGTACTCAACCGGCGGTAAGGGCAACGTCTGCGCACCCTGCCAGGCAGCCTTCGAGCCGCTCTTCTATAAATACGGTGTGGATCTCGCGCTCTTCGGACACGTGCACAACTCTCAGCGATTCAGCCCGATCTACAACGGCACTGTCGACCCTGCCGGACTCAACAACCCCAAGGCGCCCATGTACGTGGTCGCGGGCGGTGCTGGCAACATCGAGGGCCTCTCCGAAGCTGGCGCGAACGCTACAGGAAACGTCTTCACTTATGACGGCGACTTCTCATATGCGCGCGTCAAGGTCATGGATGCGAATAATCTCGGTGTAGAGTTCTACAACTCTCGCAATGACACCCTGCTCGACTCGAGTGTCTTGTACAAGGCTCACGCCGAACAATTCGTTGTCCAGTAGCTACTCGATAGATCAAGCTGAAGTATCCCAAATCACCTCACACGATCCCATTGAATGTAATGTTGTATCGTCAACTGAAAAAGTAAAAAAGTCTCGGGTCGCTTAAATGCCAATGCTTCAGTGCCACGTCCGCTCTGGGACCAATATCAATCCTGAACTCCGCAGCTAAACACCATCCAACAGGAAAAACGCACAACTGAGCCGAGAGGTATCCTGCTTGAGCCAGCGAGAGGGGAAGAATCATCTCAAAATCAACAAGCCGAAAATCACAATCCATCCTTGACGGATTTGACCACAACTTCTAACATCCGTAGCCCATAGAACGCCGCAACACTTCCATACACTCGCAATTGCTTCAACAAATCCTCCTTGTTCACTGTAGCCGTCCATTCGCCCGCGCAAGCACAATGTTCCATAAAGTCATTCGTCCGGAGCCGCGCGCATTTTTTGCATTTCAGGTCTTGCGTCATCCACAACACGCCCATCTTTTGGATATCGCTCAACAATCGCTCTTCGATATGTAGACGGTCGAACACGGCGCTACAGTTCTCGCACTTGGCCACCAACAATGACTGTGAACTGCCCTCGACGACGACTGAGAGGTCGCCATCCTTGCAAAGATCGATGTCGCGAGGGACGCAGCATTCAGGGCAGTTGACCTGCTTCAGAGAGAGGCTACTGCTGGGATTGACAAAGGCGCCGTCTGAGCTGAATTCGCGGATCTCGAAAAGCTGGAGGAGTTCCTTGCGTAGCAGACGTGCTTCCAGGGTGATGGTCTTGTCGAGACTAAGTACTTGCATGAGAGCTTTGACGAGCTCTAACACAGCGTTTCGAGGGGTCAAATGAGAGCCCGGAAGGATCGGGAACGACCAGTCCTGCAGAAGCTCTTCGTGCGCCGCTTCTAATCGTTGGCGTTTGATGAGCTGGGCGATCTGCTTCTTCAATGGCTTGGAAATTGTAACAGTAAGCACGTTTCCAGGAGTGGTTTGATCGTCCTTCTCGGCACTGTTGAACATCGGAGCATGAATTGGCAGCTGGGTTGCTCGTGGGGTATCATTGATGGCTGCGGTCGGACGCTTGCGTTGATGCATCAGCTCGATGTACTCTACCACCCAGTCGTTGAAATTTGGTTGCAAAATCGGCGGCAGGAAACTTGCAATTTGCCAGTGCATGATGGTGTCCAGAGATTGTTTGTCTGCCTCGATGACTTCCGTGCAGCCTTTTCCTCCGTAATTGAACTCATCGTACCACACAAGATAATCCCAAAACTCTGTGATCGTCAAATCCAGGAAATGGAATGCTGGCTTTGAGCTGATGGTCTTGAGGATATACTGGCTGTAAGCGAATGCATTGCCTACTTCCGATTTTGACGTTTGAATCAAAAGCCGGCCGGCGTTGGCAAACACCACGTGTGAGCCGACTCGGCGAAATTCTGACATGAGCTGCTGGAAAGCTTTCCTCGACATGACTTGTACGTAGTAGTGCAGGTTACGATCGTAGAGATGGGAACTTGGACTCTCGACCCAACGTACAAGATGCTGGACCAGCACGTCCGCCATCGAGCTGCCTCCCTTGCAGGCCTCCTGCCACCAACCACGAACCATCTCACGCAATGCGCCAATGCCGGCAGAAGCAAAGGCGTTCTCCGTTTGGATGGTCTGTGCAGTCTCATCTAAAGCATCTTCTTGTGCACCAGCGCCGGATATGCCCATCGGATCACTCCCTTCGGCTTTGTCCAAGACAGCTGCAGAGAGAATGGTGTTGATGGCCAGATTCTTCACCTTCAAGTCGATGCAAGCTGACGAATATGTTCCTGGCGTGTTGATAGCTGGCATGTCAACGACTTCCATGGAACTCAACATATCATCGCACTCGTGTCCAGCATGATCTGGCCTAGCATCGTTCGACCACCATAGAATCACTCGTTCTTGCTGCAGCTTGCGAGCATACGTGATGTCGATCAAATACCTTGGGTCATCCAATTTCAGGTTGCACAGGGGGATGTTACCGTATCTCGAGAATTCAAGCAGATGTGAAACCCAGAGGCCAAGGTCTAGGTAGTGCGTGACAAGTCGTTTCGCCACGAAAGATTGCCATCCGAGTGGAGGAAATTTCTTGTCGTTCTCGTCAGCGCGAATGTGTAGGACAGGGAAGTTCTGTAGCGCTGGTAGGTCATGCAGGAGCACCTGTGCACTTGGCGACTGCAGAATGAGCATTGTCGGTCTTGCCTCCTCCTTCTGGAACTTTTTGATAGTGTCGCCAAGTTCTTGCAGTGCACGTCGCTGGGTAGTGACCTGCACCGTTTGGAAGTGAATAGCGTCCTGGTACTCCATGATCGTTTGCCATGGTGCGCCTCCGGTTTCCTCCATTTTGCGAGCAAGCATTTCTTCGTAAATGCGGTCTACATTAGGCATGCTCTGGTCGCTCCGAGCTCGATTGAGGATCACGAGCTTGGCCTCCGCTCTTGATGAGGAGAAAAGACCATAGACCTGTCGTTCACCAGCACTTATGTGGTAGAGGGCGTAGTAGCTCATTGCGCTTGCCGCACTCAGATATGGTTCTTGCGGTGGTACTGTTCGCAATGTCGAAAGATCAAAGCCCTGTTCCAAGCCTCGACCCAACACTCCGCGTTGACTCTGATCGAAAGTGCAAACGCTGCCAAGATCAAGCATCGCACGTACACTGAGAGGCACTTGCGTTTCGTACACGCCTTCCACACTGGAGTGATGAAACAGAGCAGCCAGCTGATCTGCGTCTCGGGTATAAATTTGTTCGTTCATTGTGAGCTTGAATAAATGTGTCGAGGGATGGCCGTTTGGTAGGGTGTGGTTCACAATCTTCTCTGCGTGAACACCGTCGATGGATACATCCGGAAGATCGTCTTCCTTCAGATTCAGGTACACTTGTCTTGGGACGACTACCTTCAACTGATGCATTTTCTTATCGATCAAGACAAAAGCACGAACTTCTCCGGGAACTTCTGTCTCACGGAGCTGTACAATTTGCCAGTCACTTGTGTAGAGCAACTCCGCTTGATTTCGAAAGAATGTGCCAATAGCATCGTTAGCATCGGCCCTCTTCTCGCCGAACAATTGACGTCTGCGTGCCCGCGCAGCTTTCTGAATTTTCCATTTCTTCTTTTGATATTTCAGCCATCCTCGATAGTCATCCGTTATTGACGGCATCACATCAGGAAGGCTATCATACGGATTCACCGAGGTAGGGACAGCGGGCTCTGCTACCTTGCGCTTTTGAGAGCTCACAATCTTAGCTGCAGCGGCAGGTTTTAGTTTTGACATGGGCGTCGCGCCGAAGTCTTCCATATCGGTACTTCGGATATTGTTGATGTTACTATCGAGCTCAGCCAGGGGCTTCTTTGCGAACATATCCGTCATTTTTTGTTGCTTGAAGACATCGTCTTTTATGCGGATCCTCCGGTCGAGCCAATCCGGATGAGGCACACGGGGAACCGGGTTGCGGACCTTTTGTAGAGCAGCAGGGATCGTGATGAGTTTCTGAATGACCGAGCCAAGTCTTTCTAGGTAATACTGCCAATCAATGACTGATCGAGGATCCATATCTCCTGGATCCTCGCGCAGCCATTTACGTAGGTAGTGACGCTTGACCGTCTCTTCAGCGGAGAAAATGGCCACGGGTATTGCGCGCTCCGTCACAGGAGCATTGCGTGGCCTCGATGAAATGATGTACTTGCAATTTAAACCTTTGTCCTTGATCATTTGCTCGCCCAGGAATTCTGCGAGACGCTTCGCCGTTGTGATCGCGGTGGACTTCTGCGCCCCATATTCCTCCAAAGTCTTGGCCATGCTCTTGTTCTCACAAATGAGATCGATCAGCTCTTCATCAGAAAGCGTGGACCCAGCAGAATGGAGGACATCGAGCCATTTGTTGGCGACAGTGGCGACTGCGGCATACATCTCTGCGAGTGTGCTGCCCTCGAGAAAGAATTTGAAAATCTGTTGCTGGAAGATCTTGATGAGCTTCAGTTCTCCTCTTCGCTTGATCTCGAAACCCTTCAGTTCTGCAAGCGTTCCGTCGTCATTGAAGACTGCATATCGTTTCTTCAAGTTCTTGTCCTCTTCCTTTGAAGTTGGCAACATCATTGCCTTGTATGGCCCGTCAACCTCGAAAAAGATGGAGTTGTCGCTGTGAGTCTCGTATTTAAACGTATTGGAGTCTACCAATGTCTGATATTGATGATTTGTGAATTTAGCATGCACCAGATGGTTGAGCATGACACATGGGTATGAGATTGTGACCTTCTTGCCGTTCTTGAGTTTGAAAGCGAAGTTCTCTGGAAATGTAGCCGGCAAGATGCACCAAATACCGTCGGTATCGAGTTCGAGAGGCCGGCCGATGCGTTCCACAAGTTGACGAGCCATCTGGATGATGCGTGCACCAGTCAAACAAGTCACACCTGCCATTTCCATGGAGTACCAGCGTGAACCTTTTCGCATGACATATCCGTAGAATGAGTTCAAAATGACCTTGTGCGCAAGCTGAAGGGAGTCGAACAATACAATCATTTTTTTGGCCTCTTCAACTTCTGATGACGGGGCGCCCGCTTTTTCAAGATCGCCCGCCTTGCCTTTCCAGACCTTTTGCTTTCCTTTGAAGTCGTATCTTCGATCTCGGAAGTCCTTGACGGTATCGACGTAGAACGGATTTTCTCGCTGGCAAATGATGGCCTCACGCTCAATCGTCCGCGTGTCGTGAATTTTGTGATAAATTTTCTTGCTGTAATCCGTCAAGCGCTTCTTTACTAGTGCAGTCTGTTCGTCCAGACTGAGGTCTTGAAATGAACGCGGCAGACTGTTCGCAAACTTGCCTGGAAATTTCTCATTCTCTAAGGCATGCCTGATCATGTTGTATTCATCTCGCTTGGCTGGCAAGAATTCGCCTCGCCATGACCACGGCATGCGCCTGTCGCAGGTCTTGCCCGGACGATTGAAGTCACAGGCGGCGCATACAGACTCGTCTATCATACTGTCCGGCTGTAGTCGATTAGTGGTCATGATGTTCGGATACATTGAGGCGACATCCAGATGGTAGATGAGTGGCCTTTCGGTTCGATTTGGCGTTTCCCTCAATTTGGTGAGTCGCTCAGCGATCTGTGACCGGACTTCGTCATAATTTGCGACATCATCCATGGATTTTTTTTCTTCTACAGTAATGCAAAACTCCAGTGCTGAATCGAGGTCGCGAAGGAGTTCGTCGATCGCGGTCGTGTCAACAGCAAAGTTTGTGGGTATGTCTGCTCGGAAGACACCAGCCTCGATACTCTCGACGTGACCTCCTACATAGGTCTCGGACTCTAACAAGTGCCCTTCCCAGAACGACTCTCGAGCTTGGACATGTTTGTTTGGCAGGATGATCTCTTTCTGATACGCTTGAACCATGAGTAACATCTCGCAAAGAGTTCCAGTACCTTTGCGAAGCACATCGTCCGGGCCCAGAGGAATGATAGTGCACAATGAGAAGATGAAAGGGTGCACGTATTTCATGTAGAGGTAGTAGGTTGCTACCGCATCTGACACCGAATACTCTGCAAGCGTTTGTGGCCGTTCGGAAGCATAAGGCGTCATGAGCTCAGGATCCAACTCGTCTGGGTCATAGCCAAGTTTGGCGACGGTCACGGCTTTGAGACCACGACTGCCCTGAGGAAGGTAGGAATCGCGGTTCACCCACGCAAAAGCATCCATGTGAGCACAGTGCGTGGATTGATAAATGTCTTCGCTGTTCTTGCGGAATCCAATCTCCTGATACATATCAATGCCATGGACACTTGCACGAGCCTCCACAAATGGCCAATCGAAGAAGTCGCCGTTGTAGGTCACGATGATGTTCGGTCTTGCTTCCTTGATACAGGCGAAGAAGCGTTCCAGTACAGCCTCCTCATTTGGCTCGTTAAAGATAAGAAATGGCCCTTCAAATTCAGGCTTCGGGGTGTAATCAAAGTCTTGAATGTCTTCTGAAACGATCTCGCGATTAGTGATGAGGAAACCCTGTCCATCGATCATGTATGAAATCATCATAACCTGGTCGATAGTCGCATCAGGAAATTTCAAGGGGAGCTTCGTGGTTTCGATATCAAAGGCTAAGACAATAGGGTCTGCGCGCTGCAAACGTTCTTCAATACAGCTGAGTGAGACGTGGCCGTGCTTGGCCTCGACGGTGTACCATTTTCCTATCCGGATATCAAGGTCGATGGCGACTCTGACGTGGTAGGGAACATCGTATTCTCGAATGTCGACAATGAAGTCGCTGGCCTCCAGAACGCTAGTCGGCCGCCGATCTCGCTCACCTTCGTCTTCAAATATGTCGAAACCAGCATTGGCGCTCGCTACTTCTGCATATGTGTCCATCGCGCTGACTTTCTTCTTGTTCTTTTCCGCGATGGGCATGATAGATCTCCGCACAGCAAGCAGATCGTTTACATTGGCGAATGTGAGTTTGAGGAAAGTCCTTCGATATCCCAGCAGATGATTTGGCATGTCGAGATCCTCTTTGTCCACCTTGTCCACAGCTCGGACCAGGCCTTCAAATGCTCTTTTGACCCACTCCTCAACCTCCGCTTCCCTCCCCATCTTTACCGCAATGAGGAAATATGGCAAATACTCCACACTCGCCTTGAACGTGTCTCCTTTATCGCCAATGAAGTAAAAGTCAACTGCCGCCCGCCCACCGGGGGTCTTGGAATCTTCGATCGCCGTGCTGTGCATGTTACATAGCCATCCGATGCGTTTCTTGCCCGCCTCGAACCGCTCGAAACCCTGACTGTCATCGATACGATTCGCCAATCGCGTTGCTTCAGTTCGTTCATTTTGTGATGTGATTTCTGAAGATCGCAGGGTCGAGATCTCTGCAGACTTGATCTTCTTGGTTTTGTCGTGAATGTGTCCTGGGCCAGCGCCATAGCGCGAACGCCCTTGATTTCTTCTGACGGGCATTGTCGTAATTGTTGTGAATACTGCCACGTAAATGGCCCTCGTTTCGGGTATTAAGTCATTATTGATGTCGGAAGGAATGAGAGGACTCGGTGATATTTTGTAAGAGGCGTGATGGTCGTTGCGTCGTGCCAATTGCGAATTCAGTATTCGTGATATGCAGAGCCCGCAATTCGCAGCTTCACCTGAACATGTCCTATTCTAATACTGTAATTGCAGACGCGTTCTGGCGCACGCGTCGCGGGACGCGTGGGAACAGGCGTGTTAAAGTGGGGATGAGGTAAGCCACTCTGCAGCGATTCGCCCCCGATTAAACCAGAAAGTGTCGTCATGCGACTTGCCGATGCATTGATAACCCTAATAGATGTACTTGATGAACCTTGGAACGGATGGGATGCCGCGGAGGATTCCCCAATGGCCTCTTCCGAAGCTAGTCGATCGCATGTGGTCATGGATTCTTCAATTAATGCCGTGAGAGTTTTCAAGCCCACACATCAAACATGGCGGATGACACACGGCAACCTTCTTCACAACCTCGAGAGGACCTCTCTCGGGAGGCTCTAAATCAACATCCCGAGAACAAGGCGTTTGCAGGTCAGCAGTGGGACAATGGCAAGGCTCAAACATATCAACCGCAGGTCGGCAGCGCGAATGCGATGGAGGGCGGTACACAACACACTGCAGGAGGCCAAGTGCCAGATGTGACACTTTGGAATGCCTACCACGCCGGCAAGCCAATCTCTCAGGTGCACAAGCAACCTTGCGTGCGGGATTCGTTCATGGTGGGCATTGGCAGTGGTTTCGCAACTGGAGGTCTCCGGGCGATATTTGGAGGTAGGTGATATCGATTTGGCTGCGCGCATGTGCTTCCAAGAACATCAAAGCGGCCATACTAATTTCTTGCAGCGTCTGTGTGGAAGTCTTGCAATTGGGCTGTGGGAAGTGCGACATTGGGCACTCTTGTCATGTACCAATACTGCCAATATCGAAGACAGGCCGAGAAGGCCGGCATGACACGTGCCGTCGAGATTCTACACAAAAAGGAGCTTGAGAAGCAAGCGCGCGCGCAGCGCAAGGCCAAATTGATAGAAGAGCGTCGCGAGGCAAAGGATAAAGAGCAGGATGTGGCTTTGGCGAATCTTCAGGCAAAATCAGAAGGACGACCATGGTGGAAGGTTTGGTGACGGTTCTCATCTTGTAAACCAATACTTGTATAAAACCACGATGACTGACCTCGGGCATGAAAGGCAGGCAGTTGATCGCCTCATGATGTACATGTATTGCATGCGCTGTTTGCCATCACTCATATTTTTTCGTGGCCACTTCGATGCCCGGGTCAGATTTGGAGCGGGAAGAGTTTCGAAACGCTCGAGGTCGATTTGCGCGGATGGGCTTAACAGGCGGCAAATTGCTGCGTCGGCATGATAGCGGTCCTGATATTAATCGATGGCATAATCGGTCAATTCAACATGGATGTGTAAAGGTTAGAATATGATGCCGAGACCCCCTGTTATCATTTCAAGAGGTGAGTCTCACGCTTTCGCTTGGGAATAGCATGGCAGCCCGCTCTTGAAGTCATCTCCATCTACAGCACACATGGGCACCTGCAGTATACTGTACACGACAGAGGTGAAACTGAAATGGGCGGATCAAGGCTTTGAGCTCGAGCACACCTGCAATCCACCAAATGTATTCGCCTCCAGCCCTGGAGGGCTGGGGTCCTGTGGACAAGCAAACTTACCTAGGTACAGACAATGCGGTGAGATTCATGGTTCCATCCGCAACTAGATGTCCATGCTCAAGAGCATCGATGAGACAACCACTGTGGCTGCGCTGATCGTAGATCGTCACATGACTCCGCCATTCTTCTGACCATCTTATCGATATGCTGGATTTTGAAGTCAGTATTCATCCTGTGTGATGATGGTTGAGATTGCGATGGCGGACACCAATCTCAGAACCCTGGCGAGTGTCACTCACGGCTTCATCGACGAGGATTTTGTGCCAGGAACGGTCAGGCTTGTAGACATGTCCAGCGGCCGTGACCAACAGCATGGCAAGAAAATCGACGGCATCATCCCTGTGCCAAATCCCAGCGCAGACCGCGGTATATCTACCCGCACTCGGGACTTGTCTACTGGCGACGGACTACTGATCACGACATATAGACGATCCATTGAATTGGTCTCCACGCCGAAAGTTGCTCTCACTCTGCTGTGTCATCACCTATGTGTTCTTCAACGGCTTCTCCAACAGTGTCATCTATTCCGTCATTGTACCATTGTCAGAAGCGCTCGATCTCACAGTTGGAGAGATCAATGCCGGTACTGGCTATTTGTTCCTCCTTGCAGGATGGGGTCTCTTGTTCTGGCAACCATTCGCACTGCAGTATGGCAAGCGTTCGACATATCTCATATCCACAGCCGCCACAATTGCCTTGACCATGTGGGCTCCGTATGCCCAAGGTCCCGGTCAGTGGTACGCCCGCGGTGTGTTGGCCGGTTTCTTCGCAGCGCCTACAGACGGCCTCGCCGAGATCTCCATCAGTGATGTTTTCTTCACCCATGAGCGTGGCACGTATCTCGGCGTATATGCCATCGCTCTTGCGGGCAGCAACTACTTTGCGCCTGTGATCACGGGCTGGATCAATGAAGGACAAGGCTACCAATGGGTGTTCTATTATCCAAGCATTTTTTCTGGCTTCGCGTTCCTGTTCCTGTTCTTCTTCATGGAAGAGGCGAATTACGATAGATACGTACCAGACACGAAACACCTCAAGACGATTGTGGATGTCGGCCGGACCAGTTCCACAAGCGACTTTCGCGAAAAGGCAAGCCCAGAAACCAGCTCAAAGAAGACATTCCGTCAGAAGCTTGCTTTGTGGGATGCACCACGCCCTCAACGTATGCTTTATCGAGCGTGGCTCTCAATCTACTTTCTCACCTGGCCGATCATTGTATATGCTGGCTTTCAGTATGGGACATATGTCATCTGGTTCAATGCTCTCAATGCCACTTCGTCTGAAGTCCTCTCTTCTCCACCATACTCCTTCAACTCTGGTCTTGTCGGTACAGCATACATCAGCTGCCTCATTGGGGTAGCTGGTGGTGCAATCTACACAGGCTACCTCGCTGACAAGCTGGCGATCTTCCTAGCCCGACGAAATGGTGGGATCAAAGAGCCTGAGCAACGAATTTGGGCCTTTGCAATTTTACCCTTGGTCGTGCCAGCTTCGTTGATCTTATGGGGTGTAGGTGCGGCTCATGGAGTGCATTGGTTCGGACTCGTGGTGGCGATGTGCGGTTTGGCTTTCGCGAACGCCGCGGGCCTCACCTTGAGCATCTCGTACCTAATCGATGCCTACAGAGAGATCGGCAGCGATGCTGTAACGACCGCCATCATCATCCGCAACACGATGGCTTTCGCGATCAATTACGCCATCACACCGTGGTTAACGCTGGGTTTTCAAAACTGTTTCATTACAGCAGCAGTTGTAGCGTTGATTACATCGAGCGCTTTCTTGTTCATGATCTGGAAAGGCAAGGACTTCCGAGCGCGAAGTCGCGTAAGGTATTGGGGACTCGTTCGAAAACATGTCGATATGGGAATGATCCATTGAGTTTGTCCGGATCTTCGACGGTGCCACAATTCAGTGCCCGGTACCAAACATCCATATGGCTCAAATGTTAACAGTCTACGGTTGAGTTTATGCCATGTCTTTGTTCATCACTTTTCAGATTGAGCAAGTGATGAGGAGTTTTACAGATTGAAGTTGAGTTGTATTTCTCTTCCACGAGGTGGTGAAAGAAAATGGCTAAAATTTACACAGGCTTTGGTGGTTAAACCGAAAGCGCCAGAATACCTAGGTGCTGTTTTAACTGGAGAATACAACGTGGAAACCACAGCAAGCGAAATCTTGACATCGCCCCACAGATTTTGCCTTCCACGTGACAAGAAGATACTTCTTAAAATGCGAAATGTTCCGTAGATAGCATTTAGTCGACGAAGTTCTTCACACGGCTGAGCCAGCCCAGGTATTCCTTTTGCTCCTTAACGTCGACGTAGTCTGGCACTAGATTGGCAAGATTGCTTGAGATGCCACGAACACCGAGGTAATCGTCAAGCATTGATTGAAGGTCCTCGTCGAGCTGCTCGAATGGTGGGCCAGAGTATTGGTTGGATCGCTGGGACAGAGCCTCTCGGATCTGTTCCACTGCAGAGGCGCTGGACTCTGAGACGGGAGTGATTTGCTGAATGAGGAACATGCCGTTCTCAGCGACCAGATCGAATCGTAGGCTACCCTTGCCGGCCTTGCGGATAAGAACGGTGACGTTGACCGGGAAGGAAGTCTGACGGTCCTCCTACAACATGATAAGTTAGTTGACCATCTTTATAGTATTTGTTCCTTTCTTTGTAAGCGAATCATACCTCGTCCTGAAGAACATCGCGGTCAGCAGGTGCGTTGTTGTCCTCAGTGCCGACCTTGAGGTTTCCGCCACCGGCGCGACCTTGAATGCTGGAACCAGCTGTGTTGGCGCCTCCACTTTGGCCCTCGAGGTCCTCCTCGTCACCCAGGATGTCATCTTCCATCGCCATCTCGTCTTGCATGGGGTTGTTGAAGTCTGAGATACTGAAGTGTGCGGTCACTTCCTCATCTTCAAATTTTCGCTGCAAGAAGACGTCCTGCTCGCCCTCCGCATCAAGAATGGTCCATTCGGGGTTCTCCGCCACAAATTGCTTGACGCCGTCATCGGAGGCTGCTCCCTCAGCTGCTTCTTCTTGCTCAAGCTCAATTTCATTTGCGAGTTTAGCGGCGAGGTGTTGGCTGTATTGGTCCAGGAGTTGACGAGAAGTGGAGAAGGACGCAGTCGCAGCACGTCCAATTATCGAGACGCCATTATTCCGCACGGCTGATTGGAATGTAGGTCGAAGCAGACTCGATGATGTGGAGATGCGGGATGAGATGCGTCGAGGAGCGACGCGAGCGAAGGCGCGCAAAGACAGCATGATTGCTGCTGTGTGTGAGAGATTTGGGATTCTGCGACGAATCACGAAATTTCGACTTGTGATGAAAGATCCAAGGCGCTTCGAGAATCACGATGATCAACCCGTGCTATTGACCCGTGGAACTAGCTTGTTGATGATAGCTGATTGCGATGTGGTAACCTGTTGATGAACAAGACGCAACGGAGTCCAGCAAACATTATTGCTTCAGAACGTCCGAGCGTCGATCCCTGAGATCACACTCCAGCGCTGCCCGCAAATCTGCCCGCGGAGGTTTACGTGATGATTACTCATCAGACGGAAGTCCGACAGTACATAACCCTAACCCAGCTGCGGCTGCTATACATGTGCCAGTTGAGAGGACCAGCAATCCTTCAGTGACGATATCGGGCCAAATTCTTGCCGCGGCGTATGTGAGCATACTAGGTTAGGTACCAACTCTGTTCACATGTATGGGATCATTTATGCTAATCACCACCTTCTAGTCAATACTCAGCGCCCACAGCACCTCGATATCAGTTCTTGCAACAGTCACACATCCACATCTGGCTCGCTCATTGACCTGATCATACTCGTCGAACCTCTCTCCTACGACTAGTGCCGGCATAGTCCCATTGTAGCCGAGCACTCGCCTAGTGCGCCCTTTCTCTTCGTTTCCATTTGCAAGATGGCGAGCGCAACCATAACAACAACGGCTCCACGCCCGCAGGAACCTGCTAAGAAAGAGAAGCCTTCGGCGCTCCGATCCATTCTTGCTGGTAGCGTGGCAGGCGCAGTGGAAATTTCCATAACCTATCCTGCCGACTTCGCCAAAACCCGTACCCAGTTGAATTCGAGATTAGGTTCTGCGCAGAAGCTACCCTGGCCGCCGTTCGGTCCTCAGTGGTATGTTGGATGTACCACATCTATCATTGGAAACAGTATCAAGGCAGGAGTTCGGTTCGTTGCATTCGATCAATACAGGAGTTTGCTTGCTAGCAGCGATGGGACGGTCAGCGGACCCATGACGGTAGTCGCAGGGTTTTTGGCGGGTGCAACGGAGTCTCTAGTCGCTGTGACGCCATTCGAAGCGATCAAAACACAGCTGATCGATGACAAGAAGAGCGCGCAACCGCGGATGAAGGGTTTCTTGCACGGCTCAGGGCTCATTTTCCGTGAGCAAGGTGTCAAGGGTTTCTTCAAGGGCTTCGTACCGACGACAGCAAGACAAGCGGCGAATTCCGCTGTGCGTTTCAGTGCATACACGAGCTTGAGGCAAGCAGCACAGAGTTACACGTCTCCTGGTGAGAAGCTCGGCACGTTGAGCACATTTGCGATCGGCGGTGCTGCAGGCATCATCACTGTGTATGCGACCCAGCCGATCGACACGGTCAAGACGAGAATGCAAAGTATCGATGCCAAAAGCGCGTACAAAAACAGTGTGGACTGTGCTGTGAAGATCGTTAGAGAAGAAGGCTTTTTCCGACTATGGTCTGGTGCCGTTCCACGACTGGGCCGGTTGGTTCTCAGTGGTGGTATTGTGTTTGCCATGTACGAGAAATCTATGGAGCTGTTCGACCAACTTGACCCGCACAAGAAGTACATTTGAGATCTCCAGTCGGGTCTCTCAAAAGATCAATTCCAAGTGCTCCGTCATCGACAACAGTGGCGTCGAGTCAGCCAATGTCCTTCGGAATCTGATGACCATGGGGATTGTGTACTTCCGCCACTGCGAGAACGAAGCCTAGGGAGAACCAGGAACTTTGCGTAGGCACAGGGATATCCAAAAACATGCCCGGGGTCTGTTATTGAACACTATGAGAAGCAAAGTCGCTCGCAATCACGAGTAGATTTGACCAGCCTTCGCACTCACTTATCGCTGGTGCTCATGATTCCTTTACATCGTACATCACAACGCGTCCAGCGACTCAAAACACCCGCAACTCGTGGGCACAGTTTGGCGGCGCGGATAAATTCTACCTGATCACTGCTCGTTTTCGGCTGAAGCCATAGGCCGTGATCAGTAAGGACGGCAGAAGATATCCACAACGTATTTTTGAAGACGTTCAGCGGACAGAAGCTGTATGTGCTCGAAGGGAGTCGACGTATTGTTAGCCTTGTATAAATGCAAAGATGTATCACTTTCGAAAATTAGGTTCAGCCTCACAGATCATGCCTTGTGCTAGGATATTGACGATTTGTGTCAAGCATGTATTTGATTATCGATGACAGCAATTGAGCAACACCATGCTAGCACAGTATCGTCTGCCTAGGCACACTACGTTTGGAGTAAGCTTTTATTTACCAAATAGGGATGTAATTGCGCTTCTCGCTGATGATCATAGCCTTGGGTGCGCCGTCTCAACGACTGCGGTACAATATCGCTACCCTTATGCCCGCATCTACTGTCTCAATGATGGCAGTAAGGTCAGTACAATATACAAGGCTGATGAGGAGGTCAATGCGGACGGCGCACTCCGATGACCAACCCAGCACTTGTGGTCTGAATGATCAACGCATCACCCGTCTGCATTTAACCCTGAAAAAGTCTCTCTCGCGACGAGTTGTCATAGTGCTATCATTGAGTAGAACACAAGGTTGTTTTGATTCAGCCTCGGCGTGCCCCCTTCGATTTGACTAATTCCTCTATGTGGACATGTTCTCGGAAGCCTCGGACTTCACGGACACTATTCCGTGTGGCTGACGATTGTGCGCGCCCTGCATGATTACCTAGTAGCCTAGCGAATGATACAAGCCACTACCACCATCACCAGCCGGTTTGTCCGTCCATGCGGGTGTCCTTTTGTTGATGATATGCTGCTCTCCCCCGCCTCACTTGATGGGCATGGAAAGCGGCTGATTCCATGGAATGCACAACATAATCCACGGAGCTGGCCAGGGTGTGCATTGCCCATAGATCAATAGATCTCCGCAAATTTCGTGTCTTTCAACATGCATGATGTTGATGATGTTCAATTTATTACTCCATTCGGTTATGCATAATGGTGGTGGTGGTGACGTGCGCGCCCCGCCGCTGTCGGATCGTCATGAATCAGGTAAGCTCGGTACATGAATCGCGGCGTCGGACGGGTTGAACAGGCGGTCACCGGCAATGGACTGTCGACATCGATTAGTGGACAAGCCATGCACTTTTGTAGCGCAAATACAACGCTTGAACACGCTTGCCTCCAGGACTCCAGCTTGTTACAGGGCATGGTTGACTTCTCAACCGACCGCGCCATACAGAGGCGCCCGCCCCCTCCCTCTCGCTCTCTTTCGCCCAGTTTCATGTCTGACCTCTCCCCACACCGGCCAATCCAATGCGCCTGATCGCCCGTCTCCACTCTGTCCTGTTGACTCGCGCGCGCAGAACAGGTGATAGGAACGCGTGGATGCAAGAGAGTGCGCTATAGAACATTACGAAGGACTTTTGGCGTGTTTTCTCTTCAAACTTGCGTTCGGCTCGACATCGATACCGAGACATTGACCATCGTCAGGTCGAATGACGCTGGTCTTGGCCATGGTGCACGATCAGCAGATACCACCCTAAATGAGACAACATTCGAGTCCCGAGGGGTCTCATGCCGGCTCATTACCTGTTGCGCGACCCAGCAGCGAAACCGCCAGACGTCAGCATCACCATGAAAACAGCGACATGATTGCGTACCAGCCCGGCCAAGTCAAGCATCCTGCTATCCCAGTACGTGCTCGTCCGCAACAGCCCAAGCGCAGTATCCTCTTCGTCGATTGTGCACCTGGCGGCGTGTCCGGAAGAAACTCTGATCCCGGGACACATAAAGTAAGAAAAGATGTACGTTCCCATGCAGCCACAGCGAGCGCTGCCAAACGCAAAGCGACGATCGCGAAGAAGGAAGCGCAGCAGAAGTTGCTGCACATGCACCGTCTCGGCCTTCCCGTGGAACAGGCTATCGATCAGCTTGCCATCCAGCGACTGAGACCTGCTGCTCCAGCACCGCTGTCGAATTCTTTCAAACAACTAGTTGAACTGGTCACCGAGCTGCAGGGCGATCGAGTGTGGTATCTCGGCCCCGTAGAGCGGTCTTCTCTCGCACATAAGGCTCTCCGAAGCATCTTATGGGATGCAATGCTCAACAGCGCGACATTGTTCCAGGCGGCTGCATTCGTCGCAGCGACTCACTGCAATTCCTGCGGGCTACCAAGTACAGCTGTTCACATGGGCAGTGGTCTGATCTTGTTGCGAGGCGCCTCTTTCAACGCGGTCCAAGCCGCGATTACCTCGTCAAATAACGATAGCTTGACACCTGTCGGTATCGCCCTCCTGGCGGGCTGGGAACGTCGATACGGCGATCCGGAATCATTTCAGGTCCATATGCAGGCATGGAGGAGCCTGTCCCTTCCCCCCAAAGCGCTCGACGAGAATCACGTCGCGACACTGACCGATCTTACGCTGGAGACTCTCCGCGAAGCGCTAGATGAACGGGCGGAGGCTTCCTCTGGCGGCTTCAAGATTGTGAAAAGTCCTCAAGTCATCCTTGATCTCACTACCCTGCCGCCTGGTTTCAAGGCTTTCCACGTGCGAAATGCCGAAGCGCGCAGCTTGCTGGAGATTGTCAGCCTCTTGACTCGCATCGACCCTCGTGCGAGCGATGCCATCGATCAGCTACGGAGAATATCTCTTGAGAATCTTGCGTGGAGTCCTCATCACACACATTCCTCGACGCCCTCTGCCGCGCACGAGGACGCGTGGGACCAACTCGAGTTGAAGGCTTTATATCACGTACGCGCTGCGATGATCTCCTTGATTGGCCTGACCTTGCAGAACAGTATGGACCTGCATGGTTCAGTATGGACATTCGACATGAAGAGCGCTCTGTTGGTTCACACGACTTCCTGTCAGCATCTCAACAGTGAGATCCTCATGGACACCAAGTACAAGGAGGTCGCAGTCTGGTCGCGATTCATTATGTGCGCGACGTCATTCGATCCGCAGCGCGATGCCTTGATCCGAGACTTCTTGCAACAACTCGATATCACGACATGGAGCCAGATGAGAAAACTGCTGAGAAAATTTATATATTACGAGCCGATCTTCGAGCCATCCTGCCGGGCCTTCTTCGATCGTCTATCAGGGCCGTATATTGACGAGCTACGGCGTTTTACGGAAGTTGGGTAAGCCGCAACAAACGTCGTACGCGGCTACTTACAGCGAAATTGGGGTTCGTTTTGGATGCGGTGTCAATCTTGGAAGGCACACAATAGTGCAAAAAAGCATTCGGTTTCCAACTCATTTCGGTCGATTCGGATAGGGCACTCCGACAGCCTGGTATGTACTAGTTGACATTCTATTCTACTTTGAAAGCGACAAATATCATATCATTCATTAGCCAGACAAATATTGGACGAGTCATTGATCGATGCCTCTACTGCTATTCAAAAATAATTGATCCATGGACACACATGTGAGGATGATAACCCCTCGCACTGTGACATCTCCTTACTTTTTCTAAGCGAACTTCGCTACTCGAACAAGATGAAGGATCCGAAAATTCCATATCTCTATGTCATATCGCGTATTTATTACTTGATGAGTACCTAATTAGAGATGGGAAAATGTCGCGAGAATGGATGTCCTTGTGAATCGGGGATTCTTGTAGTGCTCAGAGTGCATAGACCAGCGGAAGACAATCACCTCATGCTAAATTCATCGTAGAAGGCGCAGCAGATCCTCCATAGTAGTACGTACTCGAGGCCATTCAAGTCATTGATCCGCTGGGCGAATTTACGGCTTATGCAGTAACAAGGCCACTATGGGCACTACTTGACACAATGGCCAAAAATCGCGATGAGTCATTTATTCATCGACAATGCAACGAATCTCTTTCAATGTAGAAAGCTATTGCGCAGCAGAGGATGCCCGAGCAATTGCGGAATAAAATTCGCATTCTCCACGCCACTGGCTTTGCAATGCTGTAATTCGGGTCTGTGGCCGGACGGCGCGGAAAGCATTATGCTGTGCTCGGCGTGCTTGCTGCGTTGAATTCAGGTACGGCTTAATTGTAGGCTGCAGTAAAGCCCTTTTTGGATAGCGATCAATTCCCAACAGGCGGACCAAGATGCTCCGGAGAATATTTTGTAAGGCGATGAAGTTTCAGCCGGGTGCTTCAGGTGCCGTCGTCAAGCACGAGCTCGTCGTCAGACGTAGAGCCGTGTTCGGTCAACATCCTCTCTGTCAGCACTTTGAAATCCTTCATGATTTCGCCCTCCTTCTCGGCGCCGACTTTATTTCCACGACTGTTCAGCCAGCCGACATCGAAATTGCCAAGGCCTCCGTTTTTGATTCGAAGGCCTTCAGCATTGTTGCTGGTTCCAGGCTTCGTTCCGGGGGCGCCTTTGCCTGCGTCGGCGAGAGTGAATATAGGCGCATCCGCAGCGATGATACCCGCCTCTTCTAACGCGTGAGCCTGACGATTTAAGCGTGCGCAAATAGCTTGCAATGTCACAAAGTACGTTTCGGTGTGCGCCTTGAAAGCTTTGCGCTGTGTACCGTCTGCTGTCGCGTCATCGCCGGCATTAGAGGCATCTTCGTCCATGTCGATATCCTCGGCCGTGGATTGGCGGTTGGAGAGGACATTGATGGCGTTACCTGCGGCCTCGAGCATGACGGATATGTCTTGGTTGATCGCGCTCAACTCGCGAATGCGGTCGGCCGCCGAGATCGTGGGTTCTTCGTCCATCGTGCTGGACATGGTGACAACAGAAACTATGATACACCCGATGATCCGTGCCAGAATCTACATGCCACTGATTATCAGAATGTATCCTGACGTTGTGTAATTCAATGTAGGTTCCAATGTCACAAATTGGCATGCGGTTGAACAGAGTGGTGCGGTACAGATGTCTGATAATCTACGGAATACGATCTTCTGCATCCGGGGCGGCGACGCGACTTCGCTGGTGATAATTCAATAGCTGTGATTAAAATGCGACGCGAAAGCCAACCACCAAAGGTTGCCAATCTCATACCAATACGACAGATTCACAGTCGACGCTCCAATCAATCGATCTTGTCGTGCCCAGATTTGCGCTTCCGAACGATGATGTAGATGAAATAAGTGCGATTTCCCCAAATCAATTCCCTGTTGTTCCGGCTATTTCCTGGCTGGCTCGTCGCCGGTGATTGTTCAAAATGGCACAACCACCACAGCCATCGCCTCAACAAGGTCCACCTCCGCCCGCACGACAGCAGCCAACACCTTCGAGAAACAATAGTATTGTATCACCGAATGTAGCTGGAGGTAGCGGGCCCGGTGGCGGCGGCATGGGTCCTCCGAGCATGACAGGTCATGCTCCTGTACCACAACATGCGCAACCTCACCCCAGCGGGAACAACAACGCAGCAGCCGCAGCGGCTTCAAATTCACCTCAGAATTTGAATCAGATTGTTCTGGAGTACCTCAGCAAAAAGGGTTACAGTCGAACAGAGGCTATTCTCCGAAAGGAAAGTCTAAATATCGACGCTAATGGCTCACCCATCGTGTCCAGCATTATGGACATGGGAGGCAAGCGCTTCAAGATCGCTTTTGAGACCGCTCTAAGATGGGTTGACAACAGTCTCGAAATCTACAAGCCAGAGCTTCAAAGACTGCTTTGGCCGCTTTTCGTGTATTGCTTCCTCACCTGCATGAGTGACTACTATCCCGAGGACGGACAGGCATTCTTCCGCAGCTTTCGACAAATGTTCGAAGCCGAGCACGAAGACGACGTCCGCGCCCTTTCGAGCGTCTACCTACCAGAGCATGTTCAAGACAACAAAGTCGCCAAGCTCTATCAGGAAAATCGCTATCGTTTGTCGATCAGCGAGATGGCCTATCGGCTGTTGATAGGCTTCCTTGAGTCACAGAATGCAGAGGGGGGCCAAATCATCCTTGACGTGATACAAAGTCGCATGGACCTACGTTCGGTTGATCGAGCGGCCTCTGGCACAGAGCGTAGTCTGACCAAGATGCTCACATATCGCGATGGCCAGATCGATGCCCCTGCCGAGGATGAGGGTATCCCGGGCCACAATCCTGGCTCAGCCAATCTATCTCAGAATGCTCCTGCAGTACTCTCCAAACTTTCCTTGGGCCCTCTCCCGATGGAGACCGATCTACTCGAGGATGTCAAAGCCGAACTTGCCGACTTGGACGCTGCTGAGCCTCCAGCCGCAGGTCAGACTTCTCTAACGGAAGAATTCGAGCAGCGAATCAAAAAGGAGCCACTTGACGATGTCCCGTCGCGTGACAACCTGCCATTCCCGCCTTCGACGGCTCGAGATGTAGCAATGGAGGTGCAGAAAATTAAAGAGAACCGTGACCGCTTCCGAATTGAGGGACGCACCGGCGGAGTGGGCCCTGGCGTAAGTGTCACAATGTTCACTCTTCATAACACATTTGATAGTGTTAATTGCATCGAGTTTTCTGGAGATAATTCACTATTGGCAATTGGAACGGCGGAGTCATATATTCGTCTATGGACACTGGACAACCAAGCTCTATCGTCACCCACAGATCCAGTTGATTTCCAGCCTTCCTCATCGCGCCGCCTGATCGGCCATTCTGGTCCAGTCTACGCACTCTCGTTCTCGCCATCGATCGCACTATCTGATGAGCGACCCACAACAAACGGCACTGCGAACGGTACCCACGCATCTGCTAAGAATGATTCGCGCCCTCGTTTCCTTCTCTCAGGATCCGCTGATACTACCATCCGTCTATGGTCGCTTCAAACCTACACCAATCTAGTTGTCTATCGCTCCCACAGCAGTCCTGTTTGGGACGTCCGTTTCTCACCCCAAGGCCATTACTTCGCCTCCGCGTCTGCGGATCGCACAGCCCGAGTATGGTGCACATCCTCTCCATCGCCTTTAAGACTTCTGGTCGGACATGATAGCGATGCAGACTGCCTGGCATGGCATCCCAACTGTAGCTATGTCTTCACTGGCTCTTCATCACCCGATCGCACTGTTAGGATGTGGGAGGTCGTGCGTGGAACATGTGTCAGAATCTTCACGGGACATACTGGAAACATTACGAGCATTGCTTGTGCGCCGAACGGTCACACAGTAGCCAGCGCGGATGACCGTGGTGAGATTTGCGTTTGGAGCATTGCCGCTGGCCGTCTGGTGAAGCGGATGCGTGGCCATGGCCGGGGTGGAATATGGAGCCTTGACTGGTCCGTGGAAAGCTCTGTTTTGTCGTCAGGCGGTGCCGATGGGACTGTCCGAATCTGGGACATGAGGAGTGATTTGAACAGCATTACCACAGGCAAGAACGTTGCTGCTAGTGGAGAGGCGGCAGCTGCTACCGCTGCAGGAGCCAAGACTGAAGCTGGCGCTGCGGCGGCCATCACAGCTCCGACGACGGCTACGTCGACAACCGGCGCTGTGAAGGGCAAGAGCAAGAAGGATGTCGTAGTGACACCAGATCAAATATCTGCGTTTCCGACGAAAAAGAGTCCCGTCTACAAAGTGCGCTTCACCGAGATGAACCTGGTCATGGCGGCTGGCGCGTATCTACCTTGAAATTTCCACGCCTACATCGCGAGAGGCTGATGTACAATACGATGGATTGCTAGGGCAAACGCTCTAACTTACCCTGTATTTCCCGAGATTTGATGAAACGACGGAATTGAAATCTGCCAACTGGTTTGTCGGGTCCGCGTGGGCACAGCGTAATGAAAGTCTTATTATACAGTCCGCACCATGTAAAATCTGAGCTGGTCGCTTGCACTCAACGTCAAGTTGAGTATTCTGCAACAGACTCTGCCCACCTGTTGACAAAACTTCGCCAAATCCGCATGGGAGTTTAGAGGCAAGGCCAATGCCAAATATGTGAACAAAATAAATTGATTGAGATTCAAGTAGATGTGTTCCGTCCATAAATAACCCAAGTCAACCTTCGCGCCCTAACAAACAGTATCCACACATACAATTATCCCGTCCCGACCAGATCGACGCACCCTGCGTGCTTTTCTCCTCGCCGCCCCTTCTGGTATTAAAGGTTGGCTCATCGTCACCACAGGTTGGCTCATGCTCGCCTTGACGCCATCCAAAAATCCAACGTTGGCATGTGCTTGACTCGCGTCCCACATCATCACACCACCAAAGCTGGAGAACGTCATACTGTATTGTATGACTGATGCCAGCGCAGCAGGTTCCTTGTAGCCGCTGCCCGCCCCGGTCTGTCCGCTGGGCACACCGAGAAAGATCTTCACATCTGGATTCGCGGAGCCGGTCTTGGCCCATTGGTCCCATGTCTGGAAGTTGAAGTTGTTCTGAATGAGGCTATCGGGGACGAAGTTCTGCACGCCGCAGTAGTTGTTGTAGAATTGGACGAAGACGGCATCGAATTTCACGCCGCCATCGAGCATGCTGCCTACGGCGGCGTCAGGATAGGGACATTGTGGCGCCACCGTCATGTAATATTTTTTCAGATTGTCAGCATCCATGAGCGTGCGGAGTTGGTTTGCGAACGGGACCGTATTCTGAACATAACTCTCAAAGTCGAGATCGAAGCCGTCAATGACTGCGTCGCCGAAAGGGCGCAATGGCGCATCGTCCCTAGCAGAAAGGTCGGGGGAAATGCTCGCGGCAGCATCTTGAACTGGTATATCGGTGTCTTGGCTAAGCGCATCAACGATGGACTCGCCCACAACGGGTGATAAAGCTGACACAGTTAGACTCAGGTCAGTATCGAGGTCAATAGTGTCCGGCTCCGTCGACGGCGACGCTGGCGGTGGTGGCGGTGGCGGTATGGCTCGAAGCGGACCAAATGTAGCCCAGAGAAGATTTGCTGCTTGGATGGCAGCCTCCGGACTCGGGAAACCGCCTTCGGTGTATGTTGCGCCGCCGATGGAGAGAAGTATAGTTTTGTTGAATTCTTGTTGGCAGGTTTTGATATCCTCGCCTATCTGTGAACAGTCAATCAGTTGAGTGCCTGGGAACAAAGGACATCCATCCTGTATGTTAGCAAAGTTGAGGACAGGTTGCTGCCCTTGGCCGGTGGTCATTTGAACCAAAAATGCCATTGGAATGATGTCCGCATTGCTGGTGGCACAATACGTGGCAAGCGGCTGCTGTGCATTCTCGCCAAACCCCTGACCGAAGGAGTTCTGCCCCCAGTAAAGAGCTACATTGTTTGTGCCATCAAAACCTGAGCCCGCAACGAAGCTTGCGATGCCCAAGACCAAAAGGGCCGATGGCGTGGGTCGGGCGATGCGAGAAGTTGTTGTAAGTCTGAACATGTTGAGCGTTGTTGGTCTTTTCGGATGTCTAGATCAGAGAAAGAAAAGGCTCGCCAGGTTATTGAAGATTGAAGAGACAGTATATCAATTTCAACTCGGCCACAGACATCTGCGCCATAGAAACTATCAAGTCCCAGCACTCTGGATCGACTGACTAGACATGTTCTTATCATTAGAGACTGGTACGGACAGGCTGAGATGCTCCAAACATATGCAGCAGCGTTGAATACGGAGAGTCCATCACAATTTGGGAGCAATTGGGTGAGCACGCCAACAATGCAAGAGATGCCAGTTGCACGATTTGTAGCGGTGATTGCCAATGGCGAGGCTTTGCGATGTTGATAGCCTTGTTGTAGCGAGGGAACAGACGGTATCACGTCGCATGGTGCTTTTGGGCCGCTCACCAACGGCGAACGTGGGCTCCGCATGGCTGCTTGCGAGCGGTGGCTGAATACATGTGCCGGACCGATGTCCCATCGACGGTAGCCGAAACACATCTTGGGTTACTTGGCCGCACGACGGTGACGGCATACAACTGATGATGATGTGTGCGGATCAGACGCAGATGTCGTTGCCCACGCGACGCCGTTGAAGCTGCCGGGCGACCGCTTTTGACGTTGACTTCGTCACTGATACGCGTAATTTGAAAGCGCCCACGACGACCATGCAACAGACGGAATATAAGACGCAAAGTCCGAGTACGCTGAAGTCTTGCCGGAGAGGAAACCAGAAGACAGCGAATGCATGCAGACTTGGTTCTATAGTCTTCGCGGGAGGTCTCTGGACTTTGAGCTCGTCACGAATGTCGGACCGCGACGTTACGGGACGCGCTTGTTTACTTGCTCGATTTGTTTTCATGTTAAGCGTCTACGACTCGTGATAGGTACAGGAGAGATCCTGCTCCGGCGTGAGAAGCGAGAGCCATCCATCTTGAACATGCTGACACGAATATCCCTAGAGGATGCAACGTGCTTGTTGTGACGTGCATGTGGTTGTATTTCGCTTGAAACTCAGCGAACTCATGTGAGTGTGCGATCATTTACTGCAGCATCATATTGGTCATCGTAACGACGACGACGAGACATTGAAAATAATGGATGCTGTGGGATGTACGATGACAGGTCAGAGAAACGTTGGCAGATCGGGATTTACAGACGTGCAGCTGCAGTACAGTGGCTCCCAGCACAAAAGCCACAACTTAATTTATGCACGTTATGCCCAGCTACCTAGGTACAATTATACACACTAGAAGAGCTCGTAATGGAGGTGTCGTCATGCTGGTGTGCATACATACATGTATATGCATCCGCTGCGTAAACAAGAATCTCTGGCTGCCTACCACATCTGCTGCATCACGACAAACAGATAATCAGATCTTCGAATCCTCCTCGTCATTAAGCCGTTATTATTGTCTCGTCGACGTCGTCTGGCTGCAAGATGGCGTGGCGATCCTCGGGAGCGACAAATGCTGCGTTGGTGGAGAACATGGCACGCAACGGCCTCATCACATCATCTCGTGTGAAACAAGCCATGCTGAGGGTATGACTACGAACCGCGCTGATCTTGATATGCTTTTCAACATCAACGAGAAATACTACGAGGGTCCACCTATGAGACACGGTCTGTTTGATGATGAAATGGACTGACAACCGTGACAATGCCAATCGGTAATCACGATGGATTGAAGATCAATACATGTTGATATGTTTTCTGTCTCGACCAGGTCGATCGAGCCCACTACACCGAACAAGCACCTTACCAAGATTCGCCACAATACATCGGTCATCTGGCGACCATCAGCGCTCCACACATGCATGCCTCGGCGTGTGAAAGTCTGTTGCCGCACTTACAACCGGGTTCAAAGGTACTCGACGTCGGCTGCGGTTCCGGCTACCTCACGCACGTATTGGCCGAGTTGGTCAAGCCTGACGGCAAAGTTGTCGGCATCGATCATATTCAAGTAGGTCGATCACAGTGTTCGTTGCACTTTCACGAACAACGAAAAACAGGCATGGACTACTGTGCTGCTGTATGTTTGGATTATTGATTGAGAGGACTGATCGTGACTTGCTAGCCCTTGGTCGATCTAAGCCGTGGCAACACCCGCAAAAGCACGGCCGGACTGGACTTGCTACGGAGTGGAGCTATCCGCTACATCACGGCCGATGGTCGTCTCGGATGGAAAGAAGAGGCGCCCTACGACGCGATCCACGTTGGTGCCGCCGCTGCTGATTTCCATCAAGAACTAATTGATCAATTGAAGGCACCGGGACGGCAAGTTTTTCAGACCCAGCACATGCTCACTGATTTCGGGTGGCTGATTTGGTCCATCTTCGATAGACTTTTCATCCCGGTCGAAGAAGATCAGCTTCAGCATATTTGGGTCATTGACAAGGATGAGCGAGGTGTAATAACCAGGAGCAAAGAGTATGGCGTGCGCTACGTTCCATTGACGGACACACCAAAACCTGAACATTGAGGGAGGAGAAGTATCAATCATCAGCATGGGCCCCGCTGCAAGACAGAAACACGTGCGTATATTTCCCTTATGCTCGCCAACACCACGCTAAATGCTCGACTTTCATCCTCGAACCCGTGTTCGACTTCAACGATGATCATGCAACTCGTGAGCTAGATGCCAATCTTCTCACGGCTTAGGTACGTGCAACGTCTTGGAAACCATGCAACATCCGTGAATCAAAAACAATGCCACCACCGGGTGGAACTCGAGAATCGTGCCCGCATTCAATGTGCCGTAGGGAATGTTCTCCTGGACCCAGTCCCGCGATGCCCAGAACCCAATCAGGCCAGTGATGGTGAGGCTAGTGGGGATAGGCAGACCTTCGAAATATTTGGCCTTGCCGGTGGCATCCTTGGGCACGTTTCCGGTGGTGACGTTGAACCGTGCCAGGCGCGCCAGACCCGAGAGGACAAAGCACGTCAATAGAACTTGGTCGAGAGCCGTTTGCATACCGATGGAGAAGGCGCAGGCTGCCGGCGCGACACCAAAGGAGATCTGTGTTGGATATTGTCAGCCTCTCGCCCGCTTCGTCGCTCATTCATCATCACGCATTCAGTCGCGTGGGACCACATCTGATTTTGACGTACCAAATCTGCCAACGAGTCCAGCTCCTGACCCATCACACTGCTCTTGCCTCTCCATCTCGCAACCTTGCCGTCGAAGAAGTCGAAGAATAGACCAAGCGGCATCAACACGAGTGACGCCCACAGGTATGCCTTGTTGCCGTAGGGGTTTTGGATGTATCGCATCGAGGACATGACCGACATGACTCCACAGAAGCCATTCATGAGGGTGATGAGGTCCGCGAGGTGATAGGCGCGCACCAGGCTGAAGTGGCCTGGGTTGGGGTCATTGAGCAGACGAGCTTGCTTGTCCTCCACTGTCATCGGGGAGTCAGTATGCGTAACCGGTTCGAAAGGTCTAGAGATCTCGTTGATGTGACCTACCAGGCTTCTTGGCGGCGACAATACCATCCGCGCTCTTCTCCACACCGCTGGAGGCTCCCGATCGTTTTGACATGGTCACCGAAAAAGTTTGGTGCGTAAGAAGGTACTATACTGTTGGTGCAGTGTGTGATTCGGCGTATGCGTTGGAAGAAGTGGCTTTTCGGAGCGGCGGTAAGAAGGAAATCCGGGATGCGAACTAGTCGTAAGAAAGAATATGAGGGGGAAGAGGAGGAGTCTTTTTGAGATATTCGAATCAAAGGTTGGTGAGGGATGGGGAAATGTTCATCTGCGCGTACTGGAGTTATATGCAGTGTTCTGCGCTGCGACGCCAAAAGTTTCGATCGTCGCGGGCAGCAAAGCAAGCAGGACCAGAACAAGCTTGGAGGCTATTGACGTACAGAGGGAGGTGGATGGATTTGGGGCGACCAGCAACGTCATAGTCATTGAAATACAGGAATGCGCCGCACAGCAACACTCTATACAACGATAATGATAAGACGGGATGATTCTTCTTCTTCTCATTATTATTTTATGTACATTTTTTCCTTGTTCGTCATGTTTGTTGTGTAGCGAACATACCATAGCATATTGTATTTCTCCATGTTTTTGTCTCATTATTGATAGATGTGTGGTGACGAGAAGCACTGCACCGAAGCCTTGTCCGCCACGGCACGTACATCTCTCCCCGCCCAGGACTGAGTTCTGGCAGCATTGTTCAGGGCTCGTTGGCGGCCATAATGATTCCATCGACGAGAGTAAGTCCATTGTTTCCCCGCGATCAGAGCGTATCACATCTGAGGAATCCTGAGAGTCGAACATAATCGTCGACCACACAGGCAATTTCTACCGTCGATTGATGATACAGTACTGTAATTAGGGTTGTTGATGGCGGAACCCTAAGGAACCAGGTGGTGGGGATCCTGTGCGCAGTGTGTGAGGATGAATACATGTGCACCTGGGCAGTGACGCAGCTTCTCCAATGCCACTTGTTTGAACTGTCCGTCTGTCTGTCTGTCTGTCTGCCTATACCTAGGTACTTAGTCGATCCCACGCTCACACTACTGCTGTACTTATTTTAGGCGGGGATAAACGATCAATTACTGTACAGCGCACGTTCGCGACTACCCATGTTCGCTGCGACAGTCCGACGAAGCATCTCCAAATCAATCAACACCGGCATAATGGCGGACAACTGTATCTTTTGCAAGATCATTAAGGGTGAGTCCTACAGAGTATAACGTTATGTACGCCCTCCAGTCATCGGTTGGATCCTGATCGAGGCCTTCCGACACAACAACAGGTGACATCCCTGCCATGAAGGTCTTTGAGAATGAAAAGACATTGGCCTTTCTCGACATCAATCCTCTCTCGTGAGTCTCTCCTGTTCATATACAGACGTTCGTTGGTCGCATGGCTCGAAGTAGTCATCGCTAGTTGCATTGGCTGACAAGACTTTTTGCCTCGCCAAAGTTACGGTCACACGGTAAGTCAACCAGCAGATAAAGAGCGACACCTTGATGGACAACACTAGCGACACCTCCATCGCAATCATATCGGCTCGCTCCACCGACTCTCGCGCCGACCGGCACTGATTCATGCTCATGGCATAGCTCGTCATTCCAAAGCATCACGGCCGCACCTTGACCGACATCCCGGACGACAGCCTCGCCGACCTCTTGCCCATCGCTGCCAAGGTCGCCCGCGCCACCGGTGCAGAGCAGTACAACATTCTGCAGAACAACGGCCGCCTCGCTCACCAGCAGGTCGACCACGTCCACATCCATGTCATCCCCAAGCCCACCGAGCAGGAAGGCTTGGGCATCAGCTGGCCGCAGCAGCAGAGCGACAAGGCCAAGCTCCAGCAGGTCTTGGAGGAATTGAAGGCCAAGATTTAGAGGTTCTTATCTGGTGTTCAAGAAGCAGAACTTTTCCGCTTGTTGAATGATCGAGTATTCACGAGGAACACGAAAAGACGTCGTTACGAAATACTATGTCGGAAAATCTAGACATCTCTCGGTGCCATCGTGACTCATTCCCATTGTTTCCCGCGCTCGTTTTGCCGAACAAAAGCCAAAGCCGAAATCGCCAAGCGTGAAGCAAATAGTGTACATGATCTACGCGACCGCCGATCCATAGACCCGTGATAGATGTAACGTCTAGAACGCGCCGCGGATCTTCGCATGGAGCTCCGTGTCGAGGAAGTTGTAGTGCGGATCGAAATGACAGAAGGGTGAGCGGAGCAGTGTGTCTGCCGTCGGACGCTCGCTGGGGTCACTAGAGTGCGGAACATGTCAGCTTTGTCTTCGTCCCCCCTTCCCGATGACGGTGGCTCATCGCCCGATTGCGGCAAAACACTTACATGGTAAAACAATCCCACATGAAGCTGAGGGCCGCCGGACCAACAACCTCCGTCACGTCGTTTGGAATCGGTGGCGCCTGGTTGAGACTTCCCAGCTTGTAGATCGCTCCAATCGCCTCTTCCTTACTCCAAGGGCGACGGCCTGCAAACATTTCCAATACGACACATCCCAAACTCCAGATGTCAACTTTGGCGCTGTACCCTTGACTGCTGATACTGGGGTCGCTCGAGGACAATGCTTGCGATTGGGCTCGGATCACCTCCGGCGCCATCCAAAAGACACTCCCCTGCATGCTGTTGGTGATGTCGTTGTTGTAAGGATTCGCCGATCGTTTACTGATACCGAAATCAGAGATCTTGCACGTCCCGTCGAGGTCGAGCAAGATGTTGTCCGCCTTCAGATCGCGATGCAGGATTCCCTCGACGTGCAAATATGCCAGTCCACTCAAGGTCTGACGCGTCAAGCTGGAGACCACCGACTCCTCGAATTTACCATGCTTCCGCAGACAAGATCCAACACTACCACCGGAGATGTACTCCAAAAAGATGCTGATGCTGTATTCCTTCTTCTCGCATCCAAGGTATTGCACGATGTTGACGTGGTCCAGATGCTGCATAGTATCGATCTCCTGGTCCAGAGCCTTCACCATCTCGCGAAGCTTGGCTGGATCGGCGTTTTGAGATTTAGGATTCACCTCGACCTGCTTGACCGCCAGCAGCTCTCCCGTCGTCGTGTTCATGCCGAGATAGACACGACCGAATGTGCCCTTTCCAATGAGTTGACCCCGCATCCACTTGAACGTCGGCTGAGTTTCGACGCGGGCGGCATGTTGTTGCTGTTGCTGCTGCACCGTTGCGGCGGCTCCTGGAGGCAGATCGTCCTGTGGAATCGTATCCAGCGATGCGATCAAGCGACTTCCAGGACGAGGCTTGACTTGTTCAATCCTAGCGCCGAACATTTTGGTCGACTTGCGTCGAAGAATGCCTCCTTCATTTCGGAGCGTGTTCACCCGGTTAACGGCTGGAGGCGGTGCCTGTACATGGACACTCGGTTGACGAACTGCGATGGCAGCTGCTGCTGTGGACTTTCGCTGCGAGAACTCGGCGCTGCTCGTTTGATAGTTGTTCTTGACCACATCGCGAATACTCTTGGTGCGACTCAAGCCACCAGATTTCTGGAGATTACGTTGCGCCACGCTGGTGAATTCGTTTCTTTTAGGTGCAACATCGAGGTTCCCGCGAGCGTCACCGCCGTCATTCATGCCATTCTTCTTGCCGGCATCGAGATCTGTTGACGAAGCTCTACTCTTGAGCATCGGTCCGCTCGTTTGCTGCGTGACCACCGAGCTGCCGTCAGCGGTCGACAAGTCCACCTTGTCCTCAACGTCCACACCCATAGGCTGATCGAGATCCACGTTCGGGAAGAAATCGTCTAGACGCTCTGCGATGCCTTCTACAGGAGGACGATTGGCCCAGACGTCGCTCGCAAAACTCTGTCGACGGTCATCGAATCTGCTCGACTCGTTGGGCGAATCTTGCATCCATGGATTGTTCGCCGAGGAAGTAGAACCAAAGGGCGGTATATCATCGTAATCGTCATCGCTGTCACTTTCGGTGAGATGATTGCCCGCGCTGTTGAGCTTCTCACGCGCGGCTGCTGTTTTAGGCGAATCGAAGCGAACGTTTGCTCGTGAAGTCTTGACACGCAGCTCAGGCCGGGGAGGCGAGCGCGGTGGAGAGACAGGTGCTGTGACGACAGGCTGCGTTGGGGCAGGGACCGGCGCAGCCTTTGCAGCCGCCTTCTCCTTCTGCTTAGCCAGCGGTATGGCAAACAACCCATCGTCCGAATCCGAATCCGAATCTTGTGGCATCGCCGGGGACTGAGCAAAGGCTTCTTGTCGCTCCGGAACATCGAAGCTGGGCCCATGTTTGCTTGCCATGCGACTGGGAGCAAAGGCTGGCGGCCCCCGACGAGAGCTCGGACTGAGTTGCGGGCTGCTGGGCCGCTGGCTGCTCGACTGGGAGCCAGGTTGAACGGGCATAGTCAGACTTAAATTGGGCCGTTGGCTGGCCTTGAGTGTGTCTTCCTCGTCGGAAGCCTCGTCCTCTTCATCTTCCATCCCCTCGACATAGGTGGGAACTTTGAACGTGGTACCGCCTTTGGACATGGTAAAGGGACTGCGAGGCACCGCGGGGCTATTACGGTCGTGCGTTCTCGACTTGTTGCTCTCAGCATCAAGCTCGGGAGCCGTGATCGACCTTTGCAGTCCTGATGTTGGCGGCGCGTTACCTGGACCATGACCTTTAGCAGCAGCCACGTTCGCCGCAGCACGTTTGCCATCTTCTTCAGGTATGGAGCCGTTGGAATTTCGCTTCCAGACTTCTTCTTTTCGCTGTGGCCAGCTGGTGCGTGGATCGCTGGTATTGCGTCTCGTGAGGCTGTTAGCTTTGACGAGGGTGTTGGTAGGCTCGGGAACCGGCGGGGCCCTACGCAACGGCTGGAAGCTGTCAGTTTTCTTGTCCTTATCGGAGCCTGACGACATCGGACGACCGGGAAGCGGCTTCTCCTCATATGGCGAATTCCGTGGGCTGTCGAAGTCAACGACTCTCCGTCCATTGGCGTCGACCATCTGGTTCTTGCGCGAAAGATAAGCTTGCTGCTTGCGCTCATTTTCTCGCCGATGTTCTTCGACTTTGGCGGCGTGAAGCGCCCTGCGCTGCTCTTCAGATAAGCCATCCAGGCTTTGTGGATCGACCTGGTCCTCTTTACGTGCCAGATTGCGATTGTCATCGCCGTCGCTCGTTCGGATCAGAATGGGAGACAGCGGTTTGTGTTGTGGTGATCGCACGGCAAGACTCGATAGGCTCATGCCGCTGCTTGGTACCGCGGGATGGTTATCCGCGGCACGGATGTACAATTTGAGACTACCAGACGGGTCCGCAAGGCGGTGTCGAACAGAGATCAGCAAGTCGTCGCTCAGAGGCTCATCGTGATCCTCCTGACCCGGGCATGTTGTATGAACTTCGACTTCAGGCCCTTCGACTATTCCCAAATTGATGCAAATTACTGTGCGGAGCTGTTGTGCGGTGTCAACCTCGCTAATGTCAATAAGTCGATAGTTCCACCCGTCTGGCGTCACAAATATGAATTTCTTGTCCGTCTCCCGCGCAGCAGGTCTCCCTCGAGTGAGCGCCTCAGCTCCGGCGCTACCAGGAATGTGCCTGGGTGATCTGTCGGCTGATCGATCGGCTAGAGAAGTGTCGGAGACAGCATTGGTGCCACGCAGATATGGCGCAGGCCGCGTTGCCTGCGGACTGACAGACCCATCGTCTGGAGCCTTTTTGTCGCGCCTGAGCTTTTGCCAGAGACTTGTCTTGTGTTCCTTCGCACTAGCGGGTGTGTCTTGACTTCCCTGACGGGCAGAGCCTTCGCCTGGCGGACGAGAGCCCTCTTGAGCATTGCGACGTTTCTGTGCGGGATCTTCGGATGCAGCACGCAAAGCTAAAGATTTTGTCAGCGGATTGTTCACTGAGGGATCTGTTCTAGAAAGTTTCATCGTACCATGAGATTCCGAACCGCTACGGAGATGAGCATTATCGCGGTAGTAACGTCCTTGACTCGAACCCCCATTACTGCCCTTTTGATTGGGCAATCCCGGACTCTGCTGCGGACTTTGGAATTTAGATGAGCCTACGTGCATGTCTCCTGTGCTTAAACTCGGCGAGTGTCGCTGTTGTCCTTCAGCCGTAGTCATTGATAAAGCATGAGACGAGAAGTTGCCTCGACCGTTCTCTTTAATCGATCCGCTCATAGAGTCGAGCGTTGCAGCACGCTGATTTGATTCACGACGCTGCGAACTGACGACGGGCATGGTGCGGCCGGGAGAGTCTTCACCACCGCCAGCAGTGGTGGGCGTCGAGCCAATATGTGTCGGTCCAGCCCTGGAAAGCTCGGACGAAGCTTCCGTGGTGCCATCATTATCAACATTGCTAGGAACCTGATTTGCGTTGGACTCCCTCCGGTTACCGCGTGATGGCGCACCAGTCGCGACGGGAGGTGTTGCAACCCCACCAGACTCTACCACTTCTCTGACCAACCGACGGAGACGTCTGCCTTCATCCCTCTCCTTGACTTGATCCCAAACCAAACCTTTGGCTGTGCATTCGCGGGCTACTTGAGGGAGGACTGTCTTGGGCATAAAGCCGATGTTTCGCTGACCTCCTGTCCGGCCCTTGCCACCGATGTCGAGAAACTGCGCGCCTTGCACATGGAGATGCTGAAATGCCGCGATCCACTCCGCAGAAAAGTCGTGCATGCTGAGCCAGGCTTGAACCTTTTCAGCAGGCCAGCTTATCTCGGAAGGCGATGCAGGTCTTTCGCTTGGATGCGATTGATCCCGATTCGGAGCCGGGTCGCTCGCTTGCGGAAATTGCGACTGATGGTGCTCCTGGGCGGGAGATTGATGCTGCTCGGTCTGATTCGCTGGTAGAACGAGAGCCCGTTGCCGAGCGGCGGTGGTTGGCGTTGGTGGCGGAATGTTCGAATGCTGTACTGCTGCAAGCGCAGGATGTTGGTATTGCTGATATGCTGAGTTTTCGTACCACGAGTTGTCCTGCCCGTAGTTTGCTCCGCCGTATCGTGCTTGCATTTGAGTGAGATCCGTTTGAGAGCCATAATAGGGCGGTTGCGGTGGTAGCTGCTGCTGCTGCTGGTACATGATCTGCCCAGATCGAGAAACTGCATGATGAGGCGTGGTCGCAGTGAGCAATGGCGGAATGCCTACCCCAGGCCCAAAACTGTCCGGGCCAGGAATGTATGTTGCAGAAGTGAGAGGTTGACTCTCGGGCATTGGTGGAATCTCGTACTCATACGCATGATAGGCACTTGGGTCGTACGCACGTGGAGCTCGTGGCTGTCCCTGGGGCGGTGGCGGTAGATAGCCAGCCTGCTGGCGAGTCCATGCAGCATATGCATTGGAACCAGGCGGCATGGGCATGAAATTACCATGTCCCGATGCAGCACTGATTGAGGGACGCGGCGGCGGCGGAGGCAGTCCTATCGATGTCGGCTGATTCGACTGCGGTGGGGGAGGAGGAGGAATAAATTGACGGGCTCCTGGTACTGCCCAGGGACTCTGTTGCACGGTGGCCGGAGTGACCGGCGTTGTCCTTCGATTGATATGGTATCCATCTTGACTGTTCTGCATGTTTTCTGCATACGTGTGGGCGCGGCCGCGCGGCGAAAGAGCTCGAGAGTGTAAATCGCGTAGGTGTTGATCGTCGTGTCCGGGAGCAAGCCGTTCGGATTCTTCACGCAGAGTGCTCGCTGATCGCTGGTGACGAGCAGAAAGCATTACTCGCCTGCCGGCTTATCGAGGGGCCCCTTCAATGTAAGACGTCCTCGGGAAAGGCTCGTGTATCTCAGGTTGTGGACATTTCCGTACAAATCTAACCTCTTGAACTCGATTGTATCTGTTCCGCCTGACTCTCTCCCTCCTTTTGCTCCAGATGTGACTTGCGACGCGTGCGCTGCTGTGCCGTGTGCATGCGGGATGGCGTTTGCCCTAGGTGACGGGTCACTTCAGACCTCCTGCAGGAAATCAACAAGAGTCTGGCGGCTTTGCATGAACTTCACGACGCACGGTGTGGTGGCCTAGTCGAAAATGAGACAGGAATGATCACGAATAGATACCGAAAGAGTGTACGGAGAACGAGGGCACTATGTGTCGACACTGTCGCATGTGCGGCTTGTTGTCCACCAAGCAACTTCTGGTGGAGAAACACGAGCAACGAGTGGGCGACGTGCAGAGGGTCGGGATCGGCGCCGCTGGGAGAGCTAGCTAGTTCAAGTCTAGATTGAAAAATCTCGCGCTTGTGCCAACGAATGACAACCTGCGGCTTGGGCTTCCGCAGAGCAGGCGATCTCTCTCTAGGTCTGTCTAGTGTCAACGAATACGACCCTGAAGCGTGCAATGAGAACGAAGCAAAGAGGGTCGCATTTGTCTCCACAGCGTGTGCCTTGAAGTCTGACTTGCGCCCCATGCATATTCATCACGACTTCGGCATGGCCTCGGTAGTCCTGATATACGCTTCTTTCCCCTTTTGTAGGTGACAAATGCAGACGGTATTGTGTTCATATTTGCCTACGGCTTGCTTTACACAAAAGACTATGGAGCCAATACTTCCGAGAATTTCACCACCGTAAGGCCATGATGCTTGCATAGCAGACGCAGGGAGCTTGTTGCCTAGCAGCAAACAAGGGCGTGTCGAAACCATTGCTGAGCCTCAGGAGATCAGAGCAAACCTGAAATCGAAGGATTCACTGTTAGACAGAAAACTCCTTGATGGAGAAGCTCGAGTCCTCTTCCATTGTACAATAGATGGGCTCAGGACTCTGAACTTCCTATTCGACATCTTCACTCATCATGAGCTGATGTCGAACGTGCGGTGACTACGCGGCGATCTCATTTGACCACACTAATGGCCAACTGGCTTGACAGTATCATGGCCCAAAGACGCCCACCCTGTCAATGTCAATTCCGGAAGACCAATCTGTGTATACACGGAGACAATCTCGAGCGCGCCTTCAGCGGGAAGAAATGTGCACTAGTCATACCTTGATGTGCTTCGATCCCGAATCTTCGGGGATTGGAAGAGCTTTGTGGACCTCGGACGATGTTTCGACATACAACACGTCCAACTTTGTCGTCACTCGTGGACTTCCGCTAAATGGCACATGGTTGACAATGTCCGGGATGGATCGAACAAGAGGAGTGCAAGTTTCATGAATTGATCATGCATAGAACTTCAGACATTTGTGTTCGTCGTGTATGTCCTTGCACGCAACGCTACACGTCATGACATTGCATTTCATGCATCTTACGCGGCCCCAGTAGCCACAAGTCTCGCAGAATTTGCGAGCGGGAGGTGAGTTTGCAGGCGGCGGCGTGCATCGAGCTTGGGCGTATGTCAGAGGTGTTGCGTTCAGCAGAGCTTCCATTTCAGCCCGGCTCGGAATAGCGGGAATAGGATATTCATTGTCATCATCGTCGTCCACTTGCATTTCGTCGAAATCAGTATTGCCTGCTGTTGGCAGGGTGGCTAAGGCTACCATTGTCGGCGGGACAATAGAGGGCGCAGGACTGGCGCTGGCGATGCTAGCTTCACGTTGAGGTTTGCGTCTTGCGAGCGGCGTCTTGCTTGCGCGCTGCGGAGGTGCGCCAGCTTGATGTATGGCATCTAGATCGATATCTCGCCTGCCAGTCCGCGCGATCTCTGCCTCTTCATCATCTAGATAATGCGCAAGGGTCTTGCCTGAGGCGAGGATCTTCTTCGTGTTTGTGGTTTTGCCGGCTTTGTGCGCGGCGCCGCCTTCCTTTCGTACTGTGTTTGGAATGGCAACATCTCGTCCACCGTCACTGTTCAATTCTCGAATCCTTCTATCAATTTTCTCTTGCTGCTTGGCAGTGACGGCTTCGCGTTGCGATTCGGTCTGCGTATTGCCAGCTGTGCGCGCGCGTTTTCGATTGGTGGTGCCCCAGTTCTTCGATGGATCGTCTCCGCGCCCGGAAACGGCGACCCAAGCGAAGCCAGGCGCATTTTTCACGTGTGTGGTTGGTAATTCTTCAATCAGGGCGGTGCGAAAGCGTAGTGATCCCGTAGCCATGCTTCGTGCCAGACATGAGGCTTGATCCCATGCGGAGTGCGCGAGTTATGAAGAAACGACCTTTCCTAGGTTTGAAATGATGATCCGACTTTGCGACTTATTTAGTGCGAGCACAACGTGGCGGGCGACACTCCACATGCCTAGGGCTACGCACTCGCATAGATGGGCTCAATGACGTGCCCTCTCATTGAACGGACAGCACGAGGTGTCACCTAAGGTTCCTCCTTGCAACGCTCATTGTATGCTCCGAACATTCACATACGTACCTAGGTAGTCTGACATCTAGATTACCCTTATCCCACGAGTGCCTCCATCGCTTGACTTTCAACACGCTATTGTATTATCGAACTCACGGAACGGCAAATATGAAGCGCCGTATGACTTTGCCTATTATCCTCAATCGTGTGGACCCAATTTACAAAGCCGCGGAGAACCCACCGTCTGACCCTGCGCACCAAGCCGTATTCATCTTTCTGCATGGCTTGGGTGACAGTGCCATTGGCATCGAAGGTAAACATGAACCCGGGACTTTTTTGAAGGCTTTATCGCACTCAAGACAAGAATCCTAGCTGAATGCTGCACATGTGTCGTTAGGGGTTGCGGATCATTTCCAGTCTGCGCACAAATTACCACACCTACACTGGATCCTACCGAATGCCATGCGGAATCATGAAGTTGGCACAACAGCGTGGTTTACCCCAAAGACGACGCGTTTGGAACGTGGAGAAGGCGAGGACGAAAATGGTCTGCTCACTTCCATCGCTTACCTCGAAAGTCTCATCGATGCCTGCCGCAATAGAGGGATTCCTGAGAGTCGTATTGTCCTCGGCGGCTTCAGTCAAGGCAGTGCGATCAGCTTACTCACTGATCTCGTGAGCCGTAAGTACAGTGGACGCCTCGCTGGCATCGTTGGTCTTATGGGACAGCTTCCATTGGCAGATGGTCGAAGGATAGAAGAGCTACGAGCCAATGCCGGCCTTCCGCCTACCACAGGTGAGGCGCCTGTGTTCCTAGGGCGAGGAAAACGAGACCAAGTTATCGATCACGCTCGTTGGATTCGAACACTGGAGAAGTTGACTTCCTTTCAAGGAACAGCCATCGAAGTCAAAGAATATGCAGACATTGGCCATTCCTTGGACAGCCGCGTTTTGAACGACGTGTGTAGCTATCTAGAGAGAATCGTACCCAGCCTGGAGGATTGAATACACAGATGCGCCAATCGCCTTCGAATTCCTACGAAAGATGGTGACTCCGTCGGACTGTAGCATTTGGTTGATCCCAAATCCCTACGGCGGGGGCTCCAAGTGCAGTCTCGATGTGTTTGTGCGTTGAAGAGGAGTTTCCAATTTATAAACGCTATGGTCGAAGGAAGCAAGACGGGAAAACATACCTGGAATGATATTTTGTAAGGTGCCCAGGTGATGATAGGTTTGGAGGCGTGATAGCGTGTGTGGTGTAGCCGACCGTAGTACGGATGACTCTTGCCATCATTGGCACGACGCATCGCCGGGATTTCATAGGCGGTCCGGCAAAATTCTTCGCGCGCGAATGTGACGGTTGGATCGAATCTCTTCATCATACATTACTCTTGAACACGCCTTGCACACGTCCTTCGTCGCACATCATCTCATCTCATCACGTCTCGCCGCCGTCGCCATTGGAGCGCTCCTATCGACGAGCTTCGTAACACATCCGGACCGTCTTATTTTCCTGTGGACTCCCAAAGATCGGAAGATCTGTTCGTCCCACAGGGCTTGGACCTCCCTGAGCATACAAGTCGTCGCATGCTAATCTTCATTCTTTGCGCCGACGTTGACGACTGCATTGATCTGAGGGGATCGAGGTTTCGCTCGGTCATCCGTCGAAAGCAAGGGAGTTCGGCACGACCGCGCAGGTGTACAGATCTACTACTAGTCCACGACCACAATCACCGCTTCCACCAAAGTCCTTTGACCAAAGTCTTCAGCTGCACCTTCTCTTATCATCCGTTGGGTCACAATACCACGGCAGCTTGAGTCTGTCCTCCAAGTGCTGCTGCCAGCCCATCTCTCCCTCTGTACGCGTTTGCGTCACGTGCCGATCGCAATCAATCGCCAGTCAAGCCCATCCATATTCTCTTTTGCCAACCAGCAAGAAACATTGAAAGCCCTTGCCCTTGTCCGAGTACCATATTCTCTTGAGTCGACCAGAATCGCTACCTCTGATCTTCCCGATCGTACGACGGCTGCAATCTCGCGCGGTTCCCACAAACTCATTTGCCGTTACCTACTCCCGCCTGTCCTTTTCCCTGCCCGCTCGCGGCTCGGTGTAGGATACCTATCACAAGCTTGCGCATAGCTTGCCATGCTGTGACCACATCTTCCCGTGCAAGCATCAATCGTTCTGTTTCAGGTGCGCTCGTGCGCCGCATCGTCAACTACGCTCATGAATCGATCCGCAGCCTCGTCTGAACCGCCCGAAGAGCCATACCATCGGAGCGAGCCGAACTTGCTGTCTCCTGCATCGCCCAAACCATTCCACTTCCCACAGCCTACAAGCATACCGATTCTGGACAGACAGATGGATGTTGGATTCAACCAGACTGAGCTCCATATGTCCGACCCTGCCACGCGTAATGTTGAGCTGCGTCCTGATGCTTGGCGCGATCCGAACGAGCCCTTGATCACTTCTGCGGAACAACCTTCCATACATTCCCCTGATGCCGATGTTCACCACAACTCGGATGCAACTATCGGCGCATCAATTGAGCAACATCAAAGTCCTGCAGCAACTCAGGCTGACAGTGGAGCAGACGGCCAGACCGCTTCCACGTTTATCACGGATGCTGCCGCACAAAGTCAACAGATTCATGCCTTGAGAGACGCATCATTGCACCCAAGCCGATCCGAAACTCCAGTAAAAGGCCGTGCTGATGCTTCGGCTGCCATTGAGGCACAATTTGACCCTGTAACTTCTGAGCAAATCCGGATAGACTCTGCTCCAAGCGACGTTCACATGCAATCATTGTTGGACAATTTGCAGACCGCTTTGGTCCCTGACGCAACTGCAACTGCGTCTTCCAGTGCCGATGACCTGTCTTCAACTGCCCCACCCATCTCGTCTGTAGTGACTGATACAGTAACAGACGTTCCATCTACATCGGTTGCAAATCAGCACGCTACATTGAGCGCAGCATCAGGACTCCCCAGTGGCCTTCCTCCTCGTCCACCGCCACAAGAGCAACCGCTCATTCATCCCAACTACGTCCATTCCCAACACATAAGCGACTACCACCCTCATGCAGTCCAATCGCTTCCACGTGGCGAAAATGCAGACTCTGCGGCTGAGCAGGCCTCGCCATCCATCGCACCGGCTGGTAACGATGCCCCTGGCTCGCAGGCATCCCCCACTGTCAAACAGCAATCATCACCACCTGCCACGGCTCGCACAGGGCCAGAACGTTCCGCAAAGGAGGCCTCAATGCGTAAGTCCGTCACGCCTTTGGAGAGCCGACGTGAATCCAAGCTTGCTGCGGGTGAAGTTCCCGGCGTTGATGATCGGCCCTGGACGGCAGACATCCAACGCAAGTATGATCACTTTCTAGAACAGGAGCGCAAATATGTCAATGAAGCCCGGTGGGATCAGTTCCCAGGAGGCTCTCGGCTGTTCGTCGGCAATCTCTCCTCCGAGAAGGTCACCAAGCGAGACATCTTCCACGTTTTTCATGCTTATGGAGAGTTGGCTCAAATCTCCATCAAGCAAGCATATGGCTTTGTACAATTCCTTCGTGTCGATGATTGTTTCCGGGCTATGGAAGGTGAGCAGGGCCGACAGATCCGAGAAAAGCGCATTCATCTCGAGGTGAGCAAACCACAGAAAAGCAAGGCGCCGCAGCAGAATGCCAGTCGTAGGTCAAGGTCGCCGGAGCAAGGAGGCCGTGGCCGACAGAACTCCGATCGTCATGGGCGACCCTCGAATGGACGTGGCCGGGACGACTACAGGCCAGGGCCGCGATCGCCCTCCCCTCGCAACTATCGCGACAGGTTCGACGATAGGTACCGCGCGCGATCGCGCTCGCCCGGATATGGCCGTGGTGACCGCTATGGCAGTCGTGCCACGCCGCCGCGGGCCGACGATGATGATGACCTTCCGCTCCCACGTCGGACGCCAGCCGAAGTGCCGGATGTCCAGATCATAGTGCAGACCGAGCTGAATCGTGATTTCATTGCGTGGGTCGAGCAAAGCTTCACTGCTCGAGGAGTACGGGTCGGCACATTGCGGCTCGCACCACGCCTGAACGAAGACGCCGTGGTGAAACGTCAGATCGTGGAGGGAGTTCTCGCCGTTGTGAAGCTAAAGCGTTCAAATCAAGATACCAGCAAAATCGGACTCACGATATTCAAGCGAAAGTCAGGGATGCGTGATGTGCAATTCGAGGAATATGACAACCTGGACCCACCAATCTGCGTCGAACTAGTCTTACGCGAGAAACAGACCCAGCTTGCGAGCTCCGGCGGCTATGCGAGTCATTACAGCGCGCCATCAGGAGGATCGCAATATGGCTACCAACCGCCTTCCATCCCTGCCCCAGCCGCACCGTATGGCTACCCCTCCGGCTATCTCCCTCCACCTGGCCAATTCGCGGGACAGGCGCCGCCCAACCTGCAGAATCTCAATACCAACAATCTCCAGAGCCTACTGACCAGCCTGAGTCAGGCCACGCCGAGCACACCACACACAGCGGGAAGCGGAGGTTTGCCTAACAACGGCGTCCCTCCATCGGCGCCTTTCGTGTCTGCAGGCTATCCTCCAGCACCCGGCTACGGCCAGTACGGGGCCGCTCCACCACCCCAGGATCCGTATGCGGCGATGCGGTATCCTGTATCTGGTGCGACCGGCATGCCAGGCCAACATCCTGCCAACGCTCCCGCGCCGCCGCCGAACATGCAGGACATATTGGCTCGTCTCGGCACGTATGGGAATCGGTGAGAAGTCGTTTGTGGGACGAAGACATCGATGAAGGCGACGTAAAAAGGAGAAATTCACGCCGAGGCTGTGCTGTGAATACCTGCAGCTCCGAACCTTTTTTCCCCAAGTGATTGCTGAAAGGTTTACTATGATTGTACGCAGCTATGATAATTTTTCGATGTAAACTTCAGTGCGTTTGACCATGTGACGTGGCACTGTAATTCCATTGATAATCTGCACACCCCGGTAGCTAGGTATGAAGGACGCCGTGGCGATGAGATAAAAATCGCTCTCTACAATACATTTGAGACTAGACGAGGGATTTGAAGAATTAATTTTGATACAGATAGATCTTTCACTCCTTTAGAGAATGCAAAGAATTGGTGGAGGGATTAACCCATACCATTCGTGCTATCTGCCAAACTGAACCAATTGCGCGCCACGAAGTCGTAGATGTTTAACAAAAGAGCTCGCTGGGGGTATTTTCATATCATCGTTCATCATGTTGTAATCGTCGTGACCCAAATGGAAGAGGGGTCCCTTCATCTTCTTCACCTGAGTGAAGGTCGCCAGTTTCGAATTCGTGAAGTTAATTTCGAAAGGGAAGGAGGCCGACGTGTCCTCTAGACGACGCGGTGAGAGCCGAGGCCGTCAGTGCCGTTCATGCGACGGGTGCCGGCGGCCTTGAGACCCGGGCGGCGGGTGACGCTGCCACGGAGCTTCATCATGGCGCCGGAGAGCTTGTCGCCCATGGAGACCTTGCGGCGGGGGGCACCGGCGGCGGTGGTGTGGTGGTGAGTGGTGGCGCCGGTGTGGTGGGCGGTGGTGCTGCCGCCGCTGAAGGGGTTTGAGGAGGTCTTGGTGACGGTGGTGCGCTTCTTGCCGAAGAGGCCGTTCTTGGTGGTGGTCTTGGTGGTGCGAGCCATTGCGAATGTGTTTGTGGTTGGATAGAAGACGAGTGGTTGTTTAGGTTAGGTTAATTTGGAGCTGGAGGTTGTTTGAGGGTGGATTGAGGAAGAGGAGATATGAGCAGCGCTACTGGCGACGTGTATATATGTCTTCAATGCATCAGCCACACACGCACGAATGGAAGGAGAGGCTGGAGGGAGGCTCGGGAGTGGCCAAAAACCTGTTCTGTGTCGGTTCGCCAAGGTATCGGAAGATATGATCACATCCAACCAACGTATGTGTAGTGAGTGAGTGTGTGTGTGTGTCTGCTTACGTTGACCTTGGATGATATGCGATGATGCTCGCGGACGCACTGCAGATCATGACACAACCAGGACACAGACCTACTGTATTCCTACTAGGTACATACTAGGTACCTGCGCAGAGAGCGGCTACAGCACGCCTGGGCAGTGCAGTCACGGCATCACCAACCACGAGACCGGGAAGACCCATTCGCCATCAGTTCGGGGAAAGGTTGCGCCAGTGGTGGTTCACGAGAATAAAGTTCGAAACTTGGAAGGCTCACCTCACCTCACCTGGGCAGCAAAGAAAGACTGCAGGTGCGCCAGGTGATGATGGACCGGGGGGCAACATCGGGATGGGGATGGTGACTGCCGATGTCTGCGTCGTCACCAGCATCGTCACCAGCATCATCACCACGACATCATCATCATCACCATCATCCATGGTTGTTGGTAGGGAGGGGTCTGTATCATCGTTACCTACCTAGGTAGATGCTATCACATACTACTGCACAGACCGCGCGGTTGGGATCATCACCGTCAGCCGGAGGAGGATGAAGGAAAAGGAAGTGTGGTCACTGCACTGGGCAGATGTCGCCAGTCGGGTCGGAATTGTTGGTTTACCTACTTACCAGAGGTTAAGTATGTGATATGCACTGACTGATGATGAGAATTCAGGGTCCAGTCCAGTCGCTCCATATACAGTACTACATAGGCCAGTACTGTATGTATGTACCAGCAGAGGAACGATGGCGCTGGGTGACGTCAATCAATTCACCAAACGAGGGTTCCTGCCATGTTTTGACGACACAGAGAGACAATCACGTGACAGCCATGCCAAGTTTCACGCTGGAGAAAAAAACAAGGGTCTCTGAGTTATGATGAGCCTTCGTCGAGTGGATGGACCCTGCGCCCGTTCATGTGCAAGGGTCCATTGTCTACTGTAACTGCCTACCTGGGTGCCCACCTAGGTAGGTAGTAGTAGGTATGGTTACATCATCGTTCTCGTCGTCCCCCATCTACTACTCACGCTATCGGCACGAGGAGGAGGACAGTCAGGTGTCGAGATCGAACGCATCTTGCTGCACTACTCATTATTGGCCATGTTTCCCATCGCGACTAATCCAGCAGCTCGTATGCCCCATCTTGGCGAGTCTCTTGGTTCAGCCCGAGTAATGATCGGAATCACCAGTGAACGTGATACGGACGAGGCCAGTCCAGACAGCGCTGGCATAAGTCGGACGGGGCACTCCGACGGCTTCAGTAAAGTGCGTTGAGCTTCCTCCGCTCCCTCCTAATCGGATGAATCCTTGGGAGTGGAAGCAGACAGACAAACATCGGCATTATTCATTTGAGTGACAAGGCATCGGATTGGTCGTCGAAGTGCTCTCGAGGTCTGACTTGATCAACCACAGACAGACTTGCTTGAAACAACACTGACAGGATGTCACGCGCAGGCCTTGTCGTCCGTGGCAAATTACAGTATCTCGTGGCAGTGAACTACATGCTCACCTCCAGGTTTGAATTCTTTCCAAACGTACTAACATCGAAATGGAAGGGCATGCTGCCTTCCCGATGACTACTGTACCTTGCATTCGATCTCATTCGGTCTCCCATGTCGTCTCCAGCTAGTCCTCGATGATGAGCGTGTCTATAATGACATGCTCGTTGACTACATCCAGAGTAAGTGCCGAATCGCTAGTCATCGAATGAATGCTCGCTCTCAAAGCCCCCAGCCTCATCAAAATCACTTTTATCGGGGCTCATTTGAGTACTCTCGTCCTGCTCTCCACCACTGACATCTGTTTCGACATCATTATCATCACCATCGTCATCATCGTCGTCTTCGTCACTAGCAGCAGCAGCGCCGTCGTCGTCGTCGTCGTCGTCGTCGACTCCAGTATGTCGCATGCTGCTCTCGCTCCCATGATGGTCATCCGTGATGGCTCCAGCCGTGCTCGTATGACGATTACGATCATTCCCACCCAGCGTCATCGACGAGAATAAACTGCGGAGTTTCTTCGCGCCTGTCGCGACCTTTCCGATCGGATTTGCACGTTGACCACGGCTCCGCCGAAGCCTCTCGACGGCATGTTCGAGCTCTGTCTGCAACCGAGACACTTCCGCTTCGAGTTCGTGCTCGTCGGGATCGGGAAGCTCGCGCTCGGCACCTGCGTTGTTCGCATCATGCGCCTCGAACTTGCTTTGTGCCGAAGTGGGGTCTCTGATCAAGTTCTGCGCAAATGTGTTGCCAGCATCCGCGGCTGATTTCAATCCGCGCAAAACGTTCAACATCCTGCTATTCAAGTATTCGGTGCATTCGTCGTGGTCCTCGGCGATAGAGACCGTGATGGCATTCTCTCCGGCTTTGTTGAAATGCATAAAGTCTGCCCCATGATCGCACAGGTACTCCACTGATGGAAGGTCGTCAAATCGTGCCGCGACAATCAGCGCAGTGTCCCCATCCTCATTTACCGCATTGACATCGGCACCTCTTTCCACGAGGGCCTCGATGTAGAAGACGGGCAAGGTACGGGCTGCGTGAATCAGCGGAGTGGAGCCCCCGCCACCTCCGCGAACATTCACATTGATATCAGATTGCTGAAGCAGAAGATCAACGACAGGACCACTTTGCTCTTCCGTGGCTGCGATAAGTGGGAACTGGTACGGGCCCGCACCGGAATCATATCGAGCCCCATGCTCCAGCAGATATTTCGCGACATCGAGCTCGCCTTGCGAACACGCTGCGATCAAAGGGGTGCTGGGTGCATGATATGCGCCTACGGTAGGCTCTTGAAATTCACCTGAAATCAGATTGACGTCGCCTCCTCGCTCGACCAACGATTTTACAATCTCCAACTTTCCGGCTCTCGCGGCGGCTTCGAGTGCGAAACCGTGTGGAGAGTCGATGGCTGTCTTGACGTCGTGTCCGTGAACTTCTACGTATTCCAGCAAGGTGTCGACGATGAGCTGCTCCCCATCATTGGCCGCCGCAGTCAATGCATTGCCCCATCTGTCCATATGTTAGCTTCGTACATACTCGGCACAGCTACTGTCAACATACTCTGCACCTTGCGACTCTGGGTCGGCACCACAGGTTTCCAGCAGGAATTTCACCGCGAGTGGTCGCTGATAATCGGCAGCGCAATAGAGGCAAGTATTTATCAGCTCCGGCGTGAAAGACTCCTGTCCTAGGCGCCACAATTTGTCGAGGACACCTGTCTGGTGGAAACGTTCCTCAAAGAGGACAGGGCGTATAGTCTGCCGGAACGCGTACGAGTAGTCCAGTCTCACACCAGCACAATGGTCAAGAAGCATCATCACCACGGTCCATTCTTCCTCCTCGGCTGCTGTGTCCAGTGAGCGCTGGTAATCGACCAAGCTGATCTGCGGTTGTGATGCCGGAGTCTCCTCATCCCTCATAACCTCATCCTCGACCTCAGCCGGCATATCGCTCTGGGTCTGGAGAAGGGTGGAGATCGTGACGGCATTCCCGGAACCGGCAGCGTAGTACAGCGCATCTCCCAAGTCGGCGTCTGTCCACTTGCCCTGCCCGGCGTCCATCACAGCATCAAATAGCTCCCCCGTTGACATCGCTGCGAGAGAGAGTGATTGAGGGAGGTCATCGCTCCCATTGTGCAACTCTGCACCCTTCTCGATGAGCAGCTTGACCCCCTCGACATTGCCAGCAAATATCGCAGTGCTGAGCACGGGGCCAGCCTTGAGCATTGTGGCATTCGCATCTGCTGGCCTGGCCCTGGACAGTAAGCATTTCATGGCAGGCGCCGCACTACGCATGGATGCCACGTGCAAGGCGGTCCCCACAGAACCATCCCCGGCATCGATGTCCAAGCCCAAGCCGAGAAGACACTCAATCGCATCGACATGACCGTTGGAGGCGGCAAAATGCAGCTAAATCCGTCAGTCTCGGTGGTGCTACTGCTTCATGAGTCGACCGAAAGACTTACTGCAGTGAACCCCTGTACTTGGTCTTCAGCACCGGCTAGACCTCGACCCTGGGTAAGGGCTCTCAACAGATGCGTGTACCCAAACGCGGCAGCCACATGAATTGGCCGAATCAGGTGAAGGAAACTACGAACGTCTGCGTCACGCTCAGCCCGCTCGCGCTCTTTCTTCTGATCTTCTGCTTCCTGCTGTTCCGAAACCTGATCCCCTGTCTCCTGGTCCCCTGCTTCTTGCTGTTCGGCAACTCGATCTTCCGCTCCTTGATCCTCTACTTCCTGAGATTCAGTTGCTTGCCCCCCAATTGCTTCAACCTCTACTTCTTCCACTTCCCCCGCTTGTCTTTCGCCTTCGTGAGCTTCTCCTGGACCAGTCAGCACAGCAGAACGCTCATTCTGTGCCAAGCCCAAATTCATGTACAAGGTGCCGATCGTATGAAACTCAGAGTCTTTGTCCTCAAGCATCCTGTCGTATAGATAGAGCCACTCCGATATGAAGTTGGAGCCGGGCTCGGTGAATCTAGAAAGCTGACTCAGCTGGAGAGCAAAGTCTTCCCCTGCTTCACGGCCATGTCTGAGCCAAAAGCGCACGGCGTAATGTAGGCCTGGTTGATTGACTGAGATAGTCTCTTGCCCCTGCGCGTTTTTTTCCAGCCTGGTGTTGTATTGTGGATTCGAAACGACCCCCGTTGTAGGTGATGCTTCTCCCGCATTGTCGGCCGTTTCCGACACATCCTCTTGCCGCAGAAGTACGTCCTGCATAGCGTGTGAGGCTTGGTGTCCTGTCACGTTCTCCTGAAAGCCTTTCGCATGACAATTTTCGCACAGGTCATAATCCTGGCACTCCAAACAATGAAATCGAGTGCCTTCAATCCACTGGTCGCAAACATCGCAGACATGCGTCGGTCTCGGCGTATCGGTGTCGCCCCAATCGCTCGCAGACTCTGGACTACCGTACTCGAAATCATAAAAGGGGGTGTCTTCGTCCATTCCGAGCTCCTTGCTCTGCTCTTGCTCATGCTCATCGTCTGATCGTTGTGACAAATAGTCTGATAGATGACTGAAGCAACGCCAAGCAAGCAGCATCTGTTGCCTCAAAGTCTCATCTTCGTTCAATTTCAAAATCTCCTTTGCTTCTCGTCTGAGGTGATCTTTGACATCACGGTTCGCGAAAGAGATGACGAACTCTCCGTCGTGTCGTTTACCGACTGTCAACAGAGGCTTGCAGCTAGTGACTAGCTGACGGAGGTAGTTCCGTTTTCCGCAGAGGTTACACAACACAAGTAACTCGTTTTCCGACGGGTCATCGTATGTCAACACCAAAGCGCGCAGCATCTCGTTGATATCATCCGGATCCGGGGTGCTTCGTGTCAAAACCTTCGCGACCGTTTCAGTACTAAAACACACCATCCACTAGCAAGGAGTCTTACTCACGGCATTCCATAGTCCACGAAGCAGGACGTTGAAGTCACGCTCAAGGCGCTCAAGCGTTTTACGGACCTTGGTATCAGTCGCTGTTTCTGGAAGCGCTTCTAGGTGCATGCAAACCACATCAACCCATCGCATGTCGGGCGCTTTGTTACCGATGATACTCTTCGCCCAATAGGGCATGGCAAGTCCGAACTTCTTGATCATCTGCAGGTTCTCCACTCGCTCATTGGCATGGTTTTGGATGCCTAGTTTGATCTCGGACCAGTATTTAGCATCGTTCAGGTCGATCATCGCAGGGACGGATGGGTTCTGAATGATATCGGAGACGGAAATTTGCGACTGCTGAGACGACGATACGAAAGATTCAAAACCGAGCTTGAAATGACCATATTCCCTGCTGGTAAACATCCATCGGTGCTGATGTAATCGGTGATCATCGGTCGAGAGGATATCTCTATTGAGCAAGTCAAAAAACCTGGAGTTCGTCGCTTGAGCCTGCTCAGAGAATGCTAGATGATGGGCATTATTGACAATGATGTAGATCTTGCGAAGTGTGAAATCGTCGGCCAGCATATCGAGCAGACATTGCCAAAGGTTCTCCAGGTGGAGACTTGGATTTGGACCTTTGCGTATCATGTCCTCCTGCTTGTCCGATGGTAAGAACTTCTTCGCGTGCACTGCTAGCGTATCATCTTGTCTGATGAGCTGCAGCAACAGAGACTTGAGGAGCTCTTCGGCGGAGTTGTTCTCCGCTGGATCACAAAGGTAGAACGCGCTAAATATGTTAGGTACATTACTATTATTTGCTTCATCGCGGCGTTTGTCGATTTCATGGAGTACCGTCAGCGTCGTCTGGGTTTTGCCCCTTCCCTCCTCACCCTTGACAAACAAGTATGGCGTTTGGACGCCAATACCGCGAATCCATGCTTGAAAAGCAGGTTCCTTGATAAAGACGTCCTTCTCTGCGCCCGTCTTCGTCATCTTCTTCTTCCTCTTTGTTGCCATGGATTCACCGTCAAGTAACTCCTCAATCGCCTTTACCTTCTCCGGGTCGATGTATAAGGTGCTTGAGTGCTTAAGCCTCGCTTTGACGTTTTTCTCTGCACGTTTCGCAAAGTTCAGAATGTGTTGTCCGACCAGTTGTTCATATTGCGGATCTGACGGCCCGTCAAATCTCACAAGATTGGCGTGAGTGCGGCTGAGCTGCGAGCTGTCAACATCATCGAGTGTTGCCGAGCTTTTGTCAACATATACGACATCTTTGGCAACATCTTTGTCCAGCTCGAAGTAGCAGTGGAAATCCATCATCGGCTGTAGCGTGCGGGTTTGGTGCTCTCTGAGTTTGGATCTCAACTCGCCGAGGGCATCACTGCCTTCCTTTAGAAACTCGGGCAATGCTTTGTAGACCGGTGCATCCACGCCGTATTTGCGCGAAGCCATCATCCTCGCAGTCTTCAGATCAACACCATGAAACGGTGTGCCAAAAAAAAGACATGCTGTGCAAGATTCGAAAAGATAAGGGAAGTCCTTGCGCTTTGAATACGATAGGTCTAGAGCCTGCAATGAAGGTCAACACAGGGGCTTTCGTGGGCTCAACGGGGCGTCCTTCATACCTTGGCAATGACGAGACCGCCCATACTGTGCCCGATGAGTATCAGAGGCCGCTTGACATCCTGATACCCTTGGTCAGATACGTTTTCCTGTCTATCTCATAATGACCTACTCGACGTATGCCTCGGATGAAATCGAGGAGAGCGTTGCCGAGATCGTAGATGGTCACTTTGACTGCGCGTGGACCAGTGTACGCAGATGGATACTCAAATAAGACGATGCGTGCGGTACGGAGATCTTGGTGGAGGCCCTTTTCATCCTCGAGCCAGTTGAAGCCACGATTCTTTGATGTCTCGTCGTTCCAGGTGAAGCTTGCCTCCGGATTGGCTCCCAGACCGGGGACTGCAATGATGCTTAAACAACATTTTGATTAGTTTCTCAGACATCAAGTCATGAGCTAAGCATGCCCTACTCGATAGTGGAATTGTCTTTTTCGTTGCATGGCCAATAGATCTTCATTCCCTGCTTTGATCTTCCATGTTTGGCAGTTTCATCGAGTGACACTTCAGGCGTGGCCGGCTGGATGTCTTGGGACATTTTGAAAACGCCTACTTAGCTGATGGTGCTGGATCTGATTGTAGGATGGATCATTCGGTGGTAATATATAGTACATGGCTCGCAAAATTCGCGGGAAGTCTGCATTTTAATGCTCATTGCGTCTCAAGAGATATCCCAAGATCACCGCTATACGACATCAGGACCGGTGAGATACGCTAGCGATTGCCGCAGGAATGCATCAATCGGCACGTCCGGTGCTGACGTGGGATCGCGGTCCCGGCTTGTCGGCGCAGAGACCATCTTCCCGGTAGGCGTGTGATTCGAGTAATCACAACGAAGACTTTCAGGCCCGTCGGCAAGGATCGTGAGCTGAGCCACCTTCAATAATTGCTCACCAATCACCGTGTGGAGAAAAATGCAAGGACCAGGGATGAAGGATCTCTCAAACCTAAATCCGCCCACTATCATTCCTTGTACTTGCTGCAGGATGCCTTATTATGCGAGCTGACGTTTGACCGCCAATCAAATCGATCGACCGAAAGTCTCCACATCTCTGCCTGATCCTTCGCCACAAAGCTCAGCAGCTCACGTGACTGTGTATGTCAGCCTGCTACACAGTGTGGTATTGGTGAATCTGCGAGTGAAGCCTTCACACATTTCGTCGCAGGCCCAATGTGAAAAGGAAACCATCCGAAGAGCGAGATGCTGTCAGACGAGAAGAATGTGGGCTTAAGCGCGGACTGCGCGTACCGCCCAGAATGGCCGCTAGGTCAATGGAGCGCCCAATCAACAGATGCTGCTCTGCCTGCGACCATCGCGACAGGCGAACATCACATCGCAAAACCAATACCGATAGAATACGATTTCCTCAAGAGGGACTTGTATCCACACCGGTTTCATAAAATCGAGCATCTCATCTGGCTCGCTGGTCGACCGCTCCCGCCACGTCCACTCCACCAACAGCTCCTCCTCTCACGTCAACTTGTCTTGTCCGAATCCATCGACCTGCATCTCGTTTGGAAGAAAGGTACCATATTTGTGAAGCCACTGCCGAGATACCTTCTAGACCGGAAATTCTGGACTGCCCATCTACGGTCAGACAGCGAGGACGGGCTACTGTTGGTCAAATCTGCTCGGGGTCTGCTGTTCTCTTATACCGCGTTGGTCAGACACGAGAGCGACTTCAGTATTGCTCAGGCCAAAAGATTGCTGCCCGGCTCGTTATGTTGGGGTGATTGGCAGCAATTGGTGTGGACTTTTCTAGATCACTTCCCCGGAAATGAGATATACGCACAGATTGATGGACGGTATTATTACGGCGAACTCAGACTCGGCCGACTCAACAAGATATACAGGCTCAGAGCGAAGACCATTACAGACGTTTTGTACGGTTACTCAAACTTGACTGCTCATAATCAGAAAGGCGACACATTCAAAGACAACTTGCGGCTGATCGGTGGATCTCTGGCATATCTACTTATCGTACTCCAAGCAATGCAAATTGGACTTGCAACCGACAGACTTGCCGGATCTGTTACCTTCCAACAAGCTTGCGCTGGGTTCGCCATATTCTCAATCCTTGCGCCCCTCGTTGCTTTAAGCACTGTTCTTGCTGTATTTCTCTTTCTACTCGTTATCCATGTTACCGAGACCTTAGCCTTCGAGAAAAGACGGTTCAAAAACATGAACGAAACGCCGCCTAGAGTTCGCTAGACAAGAGATGCCTAGATTTAATATTATAAATATAATTCTGATAATTTGCTTAGTTAATTTTCTCTATTTTTTATATATTTATAAGAATGTATTAGATTTTTCGCTATTAGCACGTTTATTTAAGTAGAGGATATCTTATAGCCTAGGCTACTTTTATCTATAAGTAATTTATAGTTTATAGCTGATTAAATTTATATAGGTATTACTTATCTATTTATATAGTTTATGTATTATACTATTTTCGTACTATATAAGGGTCTTGAACTATATAGAACGTTAAGCTCTATAAAACTAGACTTCTAGTAAATATACACTTTAAGAACTTTTAAGAGAACGTTACTTATATTATTTAATACTGAATCCTATTGCTAGATATTAGTCGTTTAAATCCTCTAAACTTCTCTAAGATAAAAGAAGCTATCTCTAAGGGTAGAAACGTCGTAATTGTTAATATAAAGTGATTTAGGATTCTTAAAATGATTTTTGGAATTCGATTTTTAAGACTAGCTTATAGACATTATTTAAGGTTTAGTATTCCCTAAGGCTATTATACTTCCTTTTTCTTCTTCTAAAAGATTCTCTAAGCTGTCTCATCTTCTCTAATATATATAAAGACACCTCTCTAGGGGTAAAGAGGCCGAGATCTTGAATTATAAATTTCGAGGGGGTTTCTAATTTTCTTTTAATTTCTAAAAGGTTTGTACCTACGTTACCTAGTATTATACCTGAGGAAAATATATAAGCTATTTATTAAGAAAAGAGATAGTAGAAAATAGACTAGTTTTTACTAAAATATAGATAATAAGAAATATCGAGCATTTACGAAAACTCCTAGCTTAGAGTACTCTATTTTTATTTTTAATTCTTCTATTTTAGCTAATATCTTTTTAAAAGTAATTTCTTTAAATTCTATTCCTTACTTTTTTAAAAAGATTTCTACTTACCGTATTAAGGGAAATCGCTGAAAATTCTTAGTATCTTAATCTAGAACTCTTAAAATTCTAGCTATGTTCTATATAGATTACTATTCTCAACTTTTAACTACTATATTATCTAATATTTAAAAAGTCAACTTATTAAAAGCTAGTTAATATCTTTATAGCCTTACAATATTAGCTAGGCTTAAACTAAAAGCTTATACTAAAAGCTTCTCTCTAAGAAGTTTCCCTATTTATAATTTTACTATATTAACTACTAGAGTAAAGTTAAAGTGTATTTTAAAATTTCTTATATTTATATTAATTTAATCTCTTATAAGATTAAAAGAGTTCAAAGAGGGTTCGCTAGTTATAAAACTTATTAACGCTAAATATATTACTAAATTTATTTATCTATATAAGAAATTATCTAGTCTAGGCTATTTACTACTTAGACTCTTAACTAATTAGCCTACTAAGTAGAATATATAATATATTAAGTAAGAGCTATAATAATTATAACTATATCTTATATAGTATAATAATTAAAATTTTAAGGATCTAGAAAATATAGTCCTAGAAAAGCTAACTTATTTCAAAATAAAAACTTCTATAGTTTATACTTATAATTAGATTTATACTAATAGCTTTGTTTTAAGGTTTTTTTAGTTTGGAATACATATAATAATAATTCTACTATTATATAAAAAGTATAATCTAGTATATTTATAGAACTATAGCTTAGGTTACAATACTACAGTTTGCTTCTAAATATAATTTTATAGCCTAAAATGCCTATATAACTTAAAATATATAATATTAGCCCTATTATACCTAAAGAATATAGGTATTAAGCTTTATATTATATTAGTAAGATCTTAGAGAATTAGAATTCTTAGATTATCTTAAATATGTAAAAGATCTTTAATTAATAACTAATTACTATATTTTAACTATTTAGGAGGTCGTTTTACTTTATATACTTTAGAGAGGCTTTTAAAGTCTAAAAAACCTTAAATCTTATAAAAGAAAAAGAGGATATAGCTTTCTAAATAGAATAAAAATATAAAGGTTTAAAGGAGAAAGAAAGAAAAGCTCTTAAGTAGATATTTACTAAATGTCTAGCTCTTTAGAGCTAAGTATCTTTATATTCTTAAACTTCCCTATCTTATAAAAATTAAGAAAATCTATTCTTCTCCTTTAAAAATAGGAGAAATAAGTGAATACTAGTATACCTTAAAATATTAAGAGTAAGGTAATATTAATATAATTAGATAGAGTAATATAACTTTCTATAAGTTATTCCTTATTAAATAGATTAATACTCTTATAGATTATAATACCTTAGGGACCTTCTAAACCTAGTTTGACGAGCTTTTTAGATCTAGAGAAGGCCGTTTATTAATACCTTCTTAATAGAGAATAAGAAGGAGAAATAAAAAAAAACTTTTATTAAAGGGTAATCCTTCTAGTACTAGACTAATATACCCTACTTCTATATATTTAAGATTTAGTTTAGAAAACTCTAGTAAGATAAAGTATTTAATCTATAATTAAAGGTAAACTCTAAGAAAATTAACACATTTTGCCTGATATTTACTATCTATTTCCTTATTTTACCTATAATCTTATATTATATATAAAATCTTCCCTATAGAGATATGAAAAAGATTAAAGGATAGAGAAATAAATTCTGCTTTCTTATTGTTTTCTATCTAATATTTCTTTAAACTAGCTATCTTAAGATTAGACAATAGGTCTTATATTTTAGTAGATTTAAAATAAGGAATAAATTCTATAGACTAGAAATCTATTTTATTATATCTGTACCTAACTATAATATATCTATATTAAACATATAGAGGTTATTAAAGTTACAAATTATAGTATCTCTTAATTATTAAGAATTTTTAAGGAAATCAATTTATTTGATTTTATAAACAAATTAAAAAGGAACAATTAGATAATTATTTCCTACTTTAAATAGGAAAGTTTATTCTAAATTCTACTGGTTCAATCTCCTAAAATTAAATATATTAAGGCTTACTTAGAGTATCTATTATAGATAGTATAATAAATATAGGATATTAGGGCTTATAAATATAATTTTACTATATCTATTTAATAAGACTAGAAGAAAGAGAGCTTATAGTAAATTTAAGGTTAAAGGGTCATTCTTATAACTTTATAATAGAAAAGTATTCTAAAGTTAATTCTATAGTATTAATATAATAGAATTATATAAGAAGAATAAATCCGTATAGGGACTAGATCTCCTATTATATCTAATAGAGTTATTCTACTAATAACTTTTTTAACTTAAATTAGACTAGAGTACTTTTCTTAATATCCTCTTAAAGTTCTTAAATTTATGCTTTCTTTATTATAGTAGTATATTTAATATATTAGCTAATAGTTTTATTTATCTAATCATTTATACTTTAAACTAAATAAGAGAAGTTTAAACTTTTATAAGATACTTAAGACTATAACTATTTGAGATAGGAAATATAATAACTAAAATTAATTATATAATAAGTAGGACTTTTTTAATTCTAAAAGATACTAAAGATGCCTAAACCCCTCTAATTATATAAAGCTAATAGATATTACGTCTCTATCCCTAGAGAAGCTTTTTACCCTAGTAAAGCCTACCTATATACTATTATATTATATTTAGAGTATATAATTTATATACTTCAATATCTATAATTAATTTATAGCTTACTTTCTACAAGCTTTGAGCTTAATCGATTATCATATCTTAGGCTTTTATCTAACTACCTATAATACTTTTTTATTTACTATAGAGAGGCTTAAATAAAGATAGGTAATAATAATCTCAAAGCAATAGTAAGTACTAGGTACATAAGCACTAAATATTAAGTCTATAGAATAACCTTTTAGGGACTTATTACCCTAAAAAGTATTTTAGAGTCTCTAAAGACATTTTACCTAGAAGTGTAGTAACTCTACTCCTAGTACCCCTTTATTACCTTATAAAAGTAGTACTGCCCTAGAGAATCTTAAAATAATAATAGAAGAGAAGAGTATATATACTTACTAGAGAAAATAAGTAGTATAATATTATGGTTAAGAATATCTAGGTATACATTTAGTAAGCATCTTATATAGTCTTAGACTTCTATATAGGTTTATAGTATTATATATAATAAATAAATAAATAAGTACTCTACTAAAATGTTTAAGTAGTTAGGTAATATTAAATACAATATATAAAATAAATTAAGATATATAAGGTATATATTATATAGAAGAGAATGTACTAAAGTTTTAAGTAGTATAGATATTATACTACTAGTATCAGGTAGAAAAAATACTATCTATACTTAAATAAGTATTTACAGTTAGAATATAGTATTACTTCTACTATTATTAATATTCCTACATCTAGTTATATAAGTATAAGCTTAGATACTTATAGTACGCTAATATATAGTAATATAGGAGGTGTTTAATAGTATATATTACCCTAAATATTTCAGCTACTATATAATGGATTATATAGCTAGCCTACATTACCTCTTTATTAAGTATATTAAATTAAGAGAATTATATTATTCTACTTATTTTATAAAGCTCTTAGGAAGAGAGGACTTAATAATAATGACTAAGTAGTAACAAATTATATCTAGCTTCTCTAAAGTAAATTCAATTATATATAATCTTATAGGTTCTAGATCTGTTTATAATATTATTTTAGTAAGTCTACTATATCTTAAGTTTATTAAACTTTCTCTTTATAAAGATTATACTTAAGTATTATTTTAATTTTACTTAGCTCTCCTATATTAAGGCAAGCTATATATAACTTAATTTAATAAGATAAAATAAATATTATAATTTATACTCTAATTTAAGCTATCCTAGAAGGTATTTTTAAAAAAAAAGTAAATAGTAATTCTTTTATAAAGAATTTCAAAATATTTACTAGATCTATATTAGTATTATAAAAAATCTAACTCTAGTACTTATATATTATTTTACTCTATAAGAGAAATTTATTTTCTTATTCTATTTATTAATTTTAGACTTATTTTATATAGAAATCTAAAGCTATTTAGTATATATATTACTTATTAACCTCCTAAAATCTTAATATTT